AACCATTATTGATCGATCATAAGTCTAGATCCTGAATGTTGTATATAGTCCTTGAAAATTACTAATGAGAGAATGCAGCGTATCCAATCTTCCTCTGATTACAATTTATATAGGTGAAGACATACCTGCCATTTGACTAACCATTGACCAGACTTGGTTCTTCTTGCGCGCATAACCATAAACAAGCTATAAGCCAGCTTGGAAATGGCAGCTCAAAAGGCATTTTCAAGTGTAAAGCCTTCTTGTTAATTTCCTCCGAAATAAAGCTAGGCACATAAGGTCCACATCCAGAGAGAAAGCCAGATAAGAAGTATTTCAATAATGTGAATCTACTCATCAAGAGAGACACATCCTAGAACAGTTGCCTCACACGAAATCCGATGAGACAAGTGCATATTAAGGCCAGGTGCCTTCAGCACTCTACTGCGGCGCCTTCGATCGTATAAGTCCTGACTCCTTACGGGGCGTAACACCCGCATGATCAGTAAGTGAATATCCACCCACCTACGGAACGTTCTTTCCTGCAGGCTTGACAGGGACGCTAGCAACTCATTGTCACGACAGCTTACTGAGAACCAGTAGCGGGAATTCCCGAATATTCTCAGGGCCAACAATAAGTGGCTTTGAAGAGGCCTCCCGTGACCCTGCTATTGTGAGTTTGAGCTTGGGACTGCGTCCTAATATCCTTGCGCGTAATGAGTCTCGAGACATATATCATTCTATATGAGACTTTACCAGGTGTATTTCGCACGGAATTAAGTATTACCGAATCAGAGGCTGGAGAAAGAGAAATCAATGAATCAACCATAAGCTGGTCGTGATACGAGGAGGGGCGCGGACATAGGTCAGGAAAGTTCTGTTTTCAAGGCCTGACTCGGTAGCTTATTGGTTAGGCCAGGAAAAAGCTGCAAAGAAATATTCGACCGAATGAGATCTGTATTTTGGTCAGCTGTAGTAGCCTACTGCCAAGAACACCAGCCTGCCCATTTATTGCATCCGGACTCATCCACAGGAAAGGCGCCCTTCCTGCTGCAATGCTTAAGCCGACACTGCAGTACTGGTTGCGCGGTAGGCAGCGTCCTGATTAGACGGTCATGGAAACGAAAATCAAAATCACTCAACTATCATAGAGGCTAGAAAATGGATAGGTGATGATTAGCTTCGTTAGGCACCATCTGCATCAAACAAGGCTGGCTGAGACTCACTACATGGTTTCAGCTCCTGCTGGTGGGTTCGCGCGCGTTGGCTGACTGGATTTTCCTCGAAATGGCGCTGACTCCAGCTCCGCTAATACGACATCGACCAACAGCCACAGCTCATATGCAACTGACTGAGAGCGGCTGCTTGCAAGTCCAGAAAGGAAGAGAGGAAGAGGGGCTACTGACGTTTTGTTGAGATTATTTCCCCACTTTTGAGGAATTCCGTCGGGAAGCATTAACAATCAGCTACTACAAAATATACACAACATCTTCCCGCCGGAATTTTTATTCCTATACCGTCTGTCTCCTTACATTTAATTCGCACTAATCATATCGTTGCATTGCAAACCAATTTCTAGGCCAAAAATTTTTCACCATGGATGGTCACGCCTCATATCTTTCCAGCCCACGGTATGAGTGCGACTTTGTTGTTGCCACCGCTCAGGCTAGCATCAACTCTGGTCTGTTGGAGTATTTGGTGGAGGGAGCCGGCCGATTGAGTACATTTGCGTCGTGTTGGATGAGAGAGGTAACCCCACCAAGCAAATCAGTCTGGAGGACTTGATGAAAGAGGCCAATGGGGAAAACCCGTTTGATATCCCCGAGGGCACTCCATCCGAGGACAGACAATTACAAAATCTCTGAGATGCTGACTTTGCAGTCGTAATTAGATGCAAATGGGTATACCACCAGGCGTCATGCCCAAGGATATGCCTTCTATCGTCACTCTGGGCAACAGCGCCCTGGCAACCTATCTTACTATATAGCTATGCTAGATGCTTAGGAGGAGCAGCAACACCCTTGAAAAGAGGAGAGAGGAGTAGTATAGTAGATAGGGCCTGCTAAATACTTAGGCTGTCTAACTAAGCTGTATAGCCCTCACAAAGACATATCTAAATTAGATACTAGCTATGGGTTATATGACATTATACTAATTAATGTAATAAGCTTATATCATATAACCTAGCTTCTTAGTATACTCCCCTTTTCATATTTGGCCACTATGGCCCCTAGTTAGACCCCTTCAGCAATTTCTTACCGCCCATACCTAGGTCATAGATCGAATCGGCTTCTAGCCCGTGACATAGAGCATTGATTCTATCATGGTATATACCGCCTCTATTGCAACTGAGACAAATATTTCTACCTTGAGCAGAGCGGATAATAGTGATAGTATGGCCATGAGATAGGCATGCTCCTGGAGTCCTGGATAGAAGTAAGTAACTACTAACTGCGCTCTAGTCTCAAAGACCTGTTCCATTGGTAGCTCCATTATCAGGTAAAGAATTAGGTAAAAAATCAGATGAGGAACTAGGTAATATGAAGACAACGGAGTTCTTTATAGTAGAAGTTGATAGAATGTAGGTACTACAGTGGTAAGTAATGCAGTTGCTGTGGTAATGTATAGTAATGACGTTGCGTGAAATGGATTAACTAATGTAATCAACCACCGAACCGCGGATACCACCGAACCGCGAATTTTCGCCGCAAATCATCATATCTTTGAAGCTTTTCAACCGCCAGTGTCATTAATTAGACTATCTACTAGTTGAATATATAGCTATTTATTAGGGCAACTTCTTCTAGTATGTCCAATAGTCCAGCATCCACTACAGCGCGGCGGAGCACGCTGACAAGATATAGGTGTAGACTCACCAACCTGCTCATCAACCTGCTGAATACGGTCACGATCTTCCTGCACAGATATAAACAGGTTATTCCCTAAGGAAGCACGTTTTCTTGCCTTCTTCTTCATTTTCCGCTCATTTTCAGCGCGAAGAACCTTGATTTCCTATTAGAGAAGAAGATTTATATTTATTGCCATCTGCGCAGCCCTTTCAAGATATTAGATATGAGCTATTAGACTGCTAGATAGCTTCCTTTTCTGGATGCTTCTCTGTACACTGCGGATCTTGTGATCAAGCTAGCAAGGATTCTGAGGAGTTTAAAAAGTAGAGGAGATTAAGCCATCAGTAAGAAGTAGTAGTGGTATTAGCATATAAAGTTGAAAGGTGATTTTCTCAAGAACCTAATCTTTATCTAATAGCTTAAGACCTGCTCCTATAAAGCCATTATATATATTCCTTTGGATAAAGACTGCTTCATGTGCAGAAGGATATAGGTGTAGAAAATCCTCTTTATCAATGTAGTTATTCCCTGCCACCATTATCCCTTTAACTAGCTTTCTATATGCGCGTTTAAGTGGCCCAAAGACCCCAACATCTAGGGGTTGAAGAAGATGAGATATATATAGAGGCATATAAAGATAGATAATTGCATTCTCCTTGCAGAAATTATTGAACTCAGCAGTTTAATAGCTTGAATGGCCATTAAGTATAAGTAATCACTTTACACCAGTTAAATGTAGGTAAGAAAAAGGGTTAAAGACCTCCTTTAGCCACTTAAGGCCTATCTCATCTGTTATCCAGCTATTTGCGCTATTGGTAAGCTTCTAGTCTGGAGGAAGATTAAGCTCTTGATACTAAGCAGCTAGGTATTCCTTCCCTTTTAGGATAACTGCTAGTGGTATAGGAATCCCCTTTAAGCTTACATACTTAATGATTATAACCTATTTATAGTTCCCCTGGATAACTCTGTGAGGTCTCTCACTGCGCTCTACTATAGTAATAACCTTTAAGGTAGTACAGAGTCCCATTGCGGGGCTAGTCTTATCAAAGTTCTAGATATCATCTTTATATATACCATGCTCTTGGATAGCTTCGCATACAGTTTTAAACCACTATTTAATAATATTTTGATCCTCCTGCCTTGCATGCTGATAAGATATGCATTGATTATATCTTGTACACAGCTCTGGATGACGTTTAACGAACTTATATGCCTAGTTAACACTAAGGGTAGTAGTAGGATCATAAGTACGCGCTTACAGCAGAATCTGTGCCATTCCATGTAAAAACTCAGGCTGAATTGAGAACCCCTGCTTATCTGCATCTAGGAGATGCTTAACAAGAGATTTCTCTTCCATAACTGTCATTCTATGGCCATTTGCGCGTGTTTCTGTACGTGGTTTAACCCCACTAAGCCGCTCACAAAGGGTAGATTCAGGCACCCCAAATATCTCAGCAGCCTTTGATTTTGATTTAATTTTTTAATTTTTATATGCAGAAATGGCCATTTGCATGCGGGCCTCTTTGGATTGAGACATTTATATAAAATTGATAGGGATAGCGCGCGTTGATACTTGTATGTTCAAATATTTTGGGGAAGTAGCGAAAATTCGCGGTTCGGTGGTATCCGCAGTTCGGTGGTTGATTATGTTATGTGATACAGATATTACATAATTTGCGGTGCCGCTAACAAGACTGTGGTGTCCCTTCGAAAGTGGCGAACAGATTATGTAATTCGTTGGAGAAGAAAATGCATCATTACCACCTCCATACCCCCCCCCTCAATAACACCCCTCGATCATGGCTAGAGGGAGGCCCAAATCGCAGGTGGCCCCGTGTCGCTTTTGCAATAAAGAATTCAAGCGCTTTGAGCACCTGCAGAGACATGAGCGTATTCGTCCGTACCCCACCCCTTGGCTGATTGTCCTTCCGCGTACTAACTGAAGATGCAGATACTCGTGAGAAGCCCTTTGTTTGTCATTGCGGCCGCTCTTTTTCTAGACAGTAAGATTTAGCCTGTCAATTTAAATTGCATGGTTAATGTTCTCTTCATAGGGATCTCTTGAGTCGCCACGAACGACTGTGCCACTCACCTGCTAGTGTTGAAAAACCAACTGCAGCGAACAATGCAGCAAACCATCCTCAATTCAACAATAACGCCCCAAACGTTCAAATGCAGGATATAGAGGGCTTGATACCGGACCCACATGCAAACTTTGGGGGCAGCCCGATCTACAATACATCCGCTGTGGAGTCTCGGAACGCAAATCTACTCCCATCTAAACCCTATGTTCCTGTTGGTACTTCTCATATTGATGATTCCAATCACCAAATGGGTCTTGGTTTTGGACTGCCAGATGAGCTGGACACCTGGGACACTGACGTGTTTTCCTTCAACAATGTCGTCCCAGCTCAGTTCCTGGACACCGATATCTCACTTTGCGATCTTTTCCAACAATTCCCTCCACAAGACCACCCGGCATCTCAGGAAGATTTCCGACCGACTACAGACCTAGTTGGGCTTCCATCGCCTCAGGAGGTTCGGTCTTTGACTCCCGCAGAGATACCAAACCCTCAGAACCCGCCACTTCCACCACGATTCCCTTCAGCCAATGACCAGTTGGACAATAGCAACCTTGATGCAGAATCAGACACCGTGGAATACCCTTGGATCCTGTCCGCTGCGGCTTACAAGCAGATTTCGGAAAAGGTGGCGCAGAGCAAGTCGATCTTACCTGACTTTAAGCTTCCGTCCAAATTCACTCTCATTCGTTACCTTGAAGGATACTTTTGCGGATTCCATGACCACTTACCTTTTCTTCATCCGGTTACGTTCGACCCACAAAATATTGAACTTGAGTTGTTTCTTGCGCTGACCGCGTGTGGGGCGTTATATCGGTTTGAACACGCACAGGGCTATCAAATGTATGACGCTGCTCGATGTCTCGTGGACCGAAGCTTTTCCATCCGCCGGCGCCGCACCATGAGAAGAATGACTGTTGGCTCCCCGGTGTCTGTGGATACAAGAGGAAATCTATATTCCCCATCAAGGACCTCGGGTGCGCCCCAGTCAGCTGAAAGTTGCAGCAACTATGATGAGCCACACTCGCAAACATGTCTACAAAGGGTTCAGACACTCATTATTCTTATGGCCATGAGCGCTTGGGGGGAGCAACCGCTTGTTCAAGACAGTCTGGCCATGGGAAGTCAGCTTGCAGTACTTGTACGGGAAATCGGGATCAGTCAACCAGATAATACGACCGATATGACCCTCTCGTGGACAACCTGGGTTAGGCACCAGCAACGGAGACGTACCTTACTCGTCGCCTACATTCTCTTCAATCTTCATAGCATTGCTTACAATGTCCCACCGCTGATTCTTAACCAAGAAGTGGCACTTTGCCTGCCGTCCTGCGAGGCAGAATGGAAAGTCAGATCACAGGCTGGCTGGGAGCGATATCGGCAAGGTTACAGTTACCATTACCGTGAGCATGCTTTCACTGTAACACTGGATCGTCTACTCCAGGGCCGCAGTGTTTCCGATCATGGCGCCATTTCAGCTTTTTCAAACTATGTCCTCATACATGGTCTCGTCCAAAAAATCAACCTTGAACATCAAACCGCAACTTGTCTTCCCCACGATGGTTCTTCGATGCGCCCGCAGTTACTAAAGCTAATGGAGACGGCTTTACGATCTTGGCAATCTTCATGGGAGGCCACCTACGAATCCACACTGGATCCTTGTTCACCTAAGGGTCCCCTGGGATTCAATGCAACGGCATTGCTACGGCTGGCGTATATCCGACTGAATGCCAATCTAGGGCCCTGCCGTGACCTTACCTCTGGAAATCCAGCTCGCGTCCAACAAATCTTCACCAGCACTGATACGGTTTGCCTTTCTCGCTCTCCGTCATTAGACCGGGCTGTCTTACAGTGTATCCATGCTCTCAGTATTCCGGTCCGTGTTGGCATTCCATACTTGGCACGGACCCAAACTCTGCACTGGAGTATTCAACACTCGATATGCAGCCTCGAATGTGCGTTCCTCTTAACTAGATGGATGCAAGAAATTGCTAAAGCTGTTAGTGCCGGCGGAATGACAGCGCTTCGCGGAGATGAGCAGAAGCTGCTTGCTATGATAACGAGTCTAATTCAAGAGACACATCTTCAAGAGACGTTGGAATATCGGGAGGATCTTCCAACTCGGATCAATCGTCTCGCGGCTTCAACCGCTCGACTGTGGGCCGAGATATCCAGTGCCACCCATGTTTTCAATATTGTTCATCGCATCGGGGCTTCCTTGTCTACTGTTGCTGATATTTTAGAATCTCAACTGCCCCCGCCTTGTATTTCTACCTAGCCTCTCTCTACTCAAAAACTATGTTTGATTACTATCACTGCAGAAAGCATGGAGTAGAGAAGTGAAGGATATTGTACACTAAGTGTGACTATCGACATCATAGACATTATATAACCAGGGGCAGTTGACAGGAAATTGTCAAAAACAAAAGCCTCGAATTTACAACATGACTGAGTCCGGAGGCACAGTAGGCTTCAATAAGGCAGCTGCATCGCTTAAGGACTGGGGCCCTAACCTCAAATATGGACAAGCTGCTTCCTACCTACCTAGCCGTCATAGGATATCTCTTCGGTGAGAAACATCCTGAGGCAGTCCCCAACCTACTCATATTTGTGAGGCAGATCCTGGACTACGCTCAGACTTACCAGTGGTCGGAAGCAGTGCTCCCACGTTCCCTTAACTTCCACCAATATATTTTGGACAAGGGAGAGCTATCGACGGGCAATAACCTTATCACAGCCCCGTCTCGTGAGAAATACCTAAGCCATAATCCCACCCTACCTGCTAATGTCCTAACAAACCCATCAACCCGACCTCTTCAAACAAGGTCGACCAGGTCTTTGAATAATGAGACAGAGGTTTGTGTTAAATTCAACACGACAGGGTGTTTCTGGGAAGGCTGCAAGAGAAGTCATGAGTGCATAGTATGCAGCCTAAGCGAGCATGGCGCCACCTCCTGCCGCAAGAAAAAAATAGCAATTGAATGCAGCTATTAGGAGACGGACGGCGGAGACCGTTCAGGATTGTCCCTAGTCTCTTACCACCAAGCCCAATACCCTATGAGCAACCCCCCAGGCCAAACACTGCTGTCCAACATCCTATTTTCAACCCACCACGAAAGTACGGGTCAGAAAACCGATTTCGCGTGATACTATAATGAAACTATCTATAGGCATAGCTACACTCCCGCTACACCCTTTAGGGATGACTCCAAAGCTCCTAGACGATTTGAACTTCATAACTGTATGCCGGGTAGCATTTGCTGGGTTCCTCCTCCTCAGAGAATTCACCTACAATACAGAAAGACCTCAGCACATATTCTATCTTAGTAGCCACAAAGCTAATACACTCCAGCATCAGATTCTCATCCTCATTAGACCACGCGCAACCCACATTCAAGCGTAGTAAGACAGACCACCGCCACGAAGGGGTTTAGATTATTCTTTCAAAAACAGGAACAGGAGCGTGGTTGATGTACTTCAGAAGCTGTCACTTCTCGACCCCTAGAAGGGCCACCTAGAGTTTCCTGATCTACGTTGTAGGCGTGGGTTCGAATCCCACTCTTGTCATGTCCTTTTCGACTTCGTGTTTTTGGTCACAGAACCCGAGACAGTGGAGGTCTGCCCGGGTCCACGACTATCAAGGGATTTTGTTTTTGGTTCTTTTTTTTTTTTTTTTTTTTTTTTTTTTTTTTTTTTTCGGCTCGCTAGGCTAGACGGGGCTCGCAAAAGAATCCAACGGGCGTGTATTCTTCTTCAGGTTAGAAGGACCTGCTTTGTACCACTTTATCACCTCTTGGTGTCTTGCATGTCTACTATCGTCGTTGAACAGAAATAAAAAGGGAGAGAAAGAGAAACAGTATTTCGAACACTAATGTCCGGATAGATTTGTCACAAATTTGGGGGGAGATATTCAAAATATCGGAGACTTTTTGATCTGAATTTCTACCCCTCACGGCAAGGACGTCCATGATCACAGAACATAGAATTCCACCTGGAGCAAAAATTAGTACCTTATAAAGACAAGCTTAAACTACTGAACTTCTTTATCCATTCGAATATTCAGGTCAATTCCAAAGTACATTGCGATATTACGAAAATGTCTACTCAAAACGTCATCCGACTCACTTCCCAGGGCTCCTGGGAGAATCTTGCCCACTTCAAAGAGCCCATTCCTTCAGCTGGCAAGCATGAAGTACTCATTGCGGTCAAAAGTGTGTCATTAAACTTCCGCGACATTGCTATCGCAACTGGAAAATATCCGTTCCCCGTCAAGGAAAACGTCGTTCCTGGTTCGGATGCCGCCGGCGACGTTGTTGAAACAGGTGAGGGGGTGTCTGGTTTCAAACGTGGTGATAAGGTCATTGTTGCCTTTGACCCCACTACATTGTATGGGCCGATCAAGAATTGGGGCAATGGCTTGGGTGGCCCCGTCGACGGTGTTTTGAGAGAATACATTTCAGTCCCGGCTCAGGCTGTCGTGAAAATTCCTGAAAACTCAACGCTCAGTTATGCCCAGTGGGCCAGTGTTGTTTGCACTGGTACCACAGCCTGGAACTCGTTGTATGGAAACAACCCTTTGAAGCCGGGACAGACCGTTCTGTTCCAAGGTAAGTTAGCAATGTGCCACATTAATTCAAACAAAGAACAGAAACTGACATTAATTTCAGGCACAGGTGGCGTATCTATCACCGGTCTTATGTTGGCAAAGGCTGCAGGTGCTAAGACCATTATCACATCTTCTTCTAACGAGAAGCTCCAGCATGTGAAGGCCCAGTACGGTGTTGACTACACTATCAACTATAAGGAGACCCCCGACTGGGCTGCTGAGGCTCAAAAGATTACCGATGGACAGGGGGTCGACTTCATTCTCGAAAATGGTGGCTCGGGAACTATCAAGCAATCCCTTGATGCCATTGCTTACGGTGGTGTGATCTCAGTGATCGGATTCCTCTCTGCTGCGAAGCAAGAGGAGATGCCTGATGTTGCTGGTCTTGCCTTGGCCAAGGGAGCTGTCGTCCGTGGTATTATGGTTGGCTCAAAGCAGCAAATGGAGGATGCGACTCGGTTCATTGGTACACACAATCTTTCCGTGGCAGTGGAGAGGACTTTCAAGTTCGATCGTGATCAGGTGGTTGAGGCATTGAGCTATCTTGCCAGTGGACAGCACATCGGCAAGGTCTGCATCGATTTTTGAATTTGCGGTGCCAGCAAATCGGGTACTTAGAGAAAAGGCTAAGTAGGTTACTATTTGTTTTCTGAGCAATTGAACAAGTCGGCAAGGCTACACTTCTTATCTGTAAACAAAATTGTTTGCACTGCATTGTCGTCACTTGGCCTGCAGTTCTCTCCTGCGACAAATTAGCTTTTGTAGTCTAGATAGTTCTATTATCATTATCCATTCAATCATTTCTAGCATTCATTCCTACGTACTCTACGTACAGAAGGGAGTCTACCGGATGTGTCCCATCAAAGGTCCGAGATGGGTTCCGAGGACATAGTCGAAAATACCTTTGAGCACACTTCGATCCTCATCCAAAGATTCTGCAACAAAGTGCAGAGGGACCTTATCTAGAGAGCTCCCGCCCAAAACCACAAAAAAAAAAAAAAAAAAAAATTAAACATTTCTTGCAAGAATCCTCGAAGAGCTTAAGGATGCGCTCATACAACTTTCCGGAATCTACTGGAAGATTCTCCTGGGTTCAATTTAGTCCAAGACATCTCATACTAGATTTTAGACCTCATCCAACGATTCAGAGTGAACATGCAGCATGACCTTGAGGAGTTTTTGCAGGGACATTTAGAGAGCCTGAGGGAGCTCCGACCCAAACGTAGCGATGAGATAATTGAACATCTCTTGTAGGAGCTTTCAGATAGCCTTGAAAATCTTTTGTCGGGGTTTGAAAAATCCACTGACAAGCTGAAAGACCAGATTGTGGAACATCAAGACTTGCTTCATGTACGTTTGAAGTATCAAAGGAATTCTTTCTTGCCTGCCGTCGCTATGGTCCTTGAGAGAGCACTCCGTGCTCGCTGTGGAGGGCGAAGGAAAAACGCAATGTCGCGAGATACAACACGGTTCAGAAACATAGCTAGAGATGATATTACTAGAAGACTCATCTTGGGCTTTCGGCAAGGCAATATGTACAGCGATCTCCGCCCTGCCAGTGCGCGCGGTGAATATGGTCGGAGCGCGCTCCCGATGCCGGTAAGACGTGGACCCACATGTCATCACCAATGACTACAGGGTTAATTGGGAAATATTTAAATGATTTATTCTGATTTCAATATATCCGAATGAGACCATGAGATCTGCGACAAATATAAGATTAGTAGCGATTGAAAGAGGGGAGGACAAGAGGAAGGTGGGGGCGGGTCGTGGTTGGGGAGGCCTACTGTCTGAATGGGAGCCGTCCGAACGACGTCGTATGAAATATCGCGTAGGAGAGGTGGAGTTGCAGCTGTCTGCTTAGAAATTTTCGGCACCACCTCTATGCTGGAACACGCTGGAACGAAGACAAAATATCGATCACGTCGGATGGGCCGACTGTCGGGTGTTGCCTCCGAGTGGACGGTCACCACCTGGAGATCAAATGGATGGCATATAAGAGACAACATCGTTGGATTATCATTCAAATAGCTCTCTTAATCCCCATCGAATAACAGCCATGCTTTCCCGACCGGTTAGCCGTGCGATTGCCGTCACTGCTCACATGCGTCCGGTTGTTCCCCGACGAACAATTCCTGTGTCACAAATCCGGCTGCCTTCCTCCACCATGGCTAAATCCAATGTATCAAGCGTGCACACGAATATGGCTTATGCTCGTGAGTATCTGAAGCTGGATCAAATTCATGAGATCGAGTAACTGATTCCCATGTGTAGCGTTTGCCCATTATGTATGACTTGACTCCATAATATTGCGTATCATTTTGGAAGTCGTTACAATAACAGCTATCCTGCAGTCCCAAGCCATCAAAGCCGGTGCCCAGGTTTATCTCTCGGGTCAGATAGCCGCCGATGTTGAGGGAAATCTAATTAAGGGGTCGACCGTAGAGAAAGCGGAGGTGATCATCAAGAATACTGAAGCTATACTGAACGAAGCAGGATCCGGACTGGATAGGGTAGTCAAGGTCGTGGTGAGTGTTGAATGCTGCAAATATTCACCTACGCTGCATCTTTGATTAATCTTTTCCCGCCAGATTTACGTCAAAGATTTGAGCATAATGCCGGACTTCGCATCGGTCTATGACCCCAAATTCCCTCATCGCCTGGCACGGTCTATGGTGGAGGTAACCAGCTTACCTGCTGGGGTAGACATCCAGGTCGATTTCATAGCCGTGGTTTAATGTAAGTTGAATTGAATCTTCTATATCTAAGCATGCGCGCTCCTTTTGGTAGAAGACTCTCTTTGCTACGGAGCACATCTCAAAACCTCGAGACTAGTACCTGCCACTTTGGACTACCCGACTTATGACAGGCAGATTTGATAGAAGAATAATATCGTGTTGAGATCTGGCAGACTAAGAAGATCGTAGTGTCAGGGTACTTCTCTTTCGTAATCGGCTTCTTGACAGGATGCCGAACAGCGAATCTTGGAGCCGATGGTTTTGCTGTCGTGCTTCACGGAGAACGAGCCGATTGCGCCATTTTTTTCCGATCCCCAAATGAAAAGATAAGTTGGAGTTGTCTATTCCTATCAGGATTGCCCTATATAGCTATGAAAATACACTAGGATTACTGGCCAGCGAGGGCAGCGGAATTAAACGGGGAATAACAAAGGATGAGAAGATTGTGATTCTGATTCTCTAAGACTGCTGAGGGTCGAAGGGGTTGAAATAGCCTCGAGAATACCTGTAACTCGGAGGTTACGTATCCGAGGTGGTAAAAGGTGGCAAAAGTGCGCGTAATCACAATACCAGACACCATCCCATACCTTGGAAACCTCAAGAGGTATCGTTTTGAGCAAATACGATGCTGATCACCATTTTCCTGACAATTTCTCTCCTACTTCAGTTATCCTACTTTCCTATCTACCTATCAAAGTGGAAAAGCTCAAGGCAGCCCGGTCGGTACGGGCAGGTCGAGACGAGAGAGAACAAGGGACAGAGTCGAAGGGTGAGCCGAACAAAACCGCAACAGCGAAGTTGCCGCGATAAAATCCAGCGCGAGTCTCTCGGCCAGCCTGTGTCGTGGCAGCAGTAGGTACCATTACCTCATCCAGTAAACCGAAGGAACGTCATACTAGACAGTAGGAATAGGGAAAGAGAAATTAAAGGGGAGACCATGGAAATAATGCGTGGCTTCACACATATCATATTCTTTCTTCTTCCTCTTCCTCTCTCTCTCCCTTATTCTGTTACTCTTCTTGCTCCTCTGTAGAAACTTCCTAAGACAAACCAAATAAACTAAATGGCCACACGAAAATCCTCTGAAGTCCTATATATCACTAAATCCCCTACTATATACTACCTCGGGCAAAAACTTGACAGTCCCCTAGTCGCCGGCTGCGTCTGACCCTGGGACAACTTATCCTTGACTGGGAAGGGATACTGGCCGGTCGCAATGGCGATGTCTCGGAAAGTCAAGGCAACACTTTGAACTCTGATGAGGACTTCATGCTTTCCAGTAGAGGGCGGGGCTCCTTGACCTCTGCCAATTGGTCCCAAGATCCCTGAGACGTGAGTCGGATAACGGTTGGCGAAGCCATATTTGTTACTGATACAGAAAAATCTAGATTTGTTGACGGCATTTACACAGCCGGCTCCACAGGAGGACGCCCTCAGTTTGTCTATGAACCCATCGTCGATGTCTGGGGTCATGGTCCCGCGCAACCACGACGATTGCACCTACCAGGAGAAATCCTCTCAGCGATTGCTACGACGCGTGACTCCGATGGGAGTACCGATCTATATGCGGTAGGAGGTGCAACATTGTATAGTTGGCCTGCTGACCAGCAGACAGAGCATAATGAGCCAATATCGGTTCGCACCAGTGACGTTTTCTCTGGAACTGACACCTTACGTGCTATGATCGATGACAGAGTGACGGCATTATGGGGGAGGAACGCCACGATCAGGTCTATTACTTCGCCTGTCCGACAGGTCAGCTCGGGCACTCGGGAGCCTGGAGCGCCCCTATCCCGGTTCTCTCTGGAGTGGAGCTCATATCCCCATACGTGAACCGCGCAGACGGTAGCTACACCATTTTTGCAACCGGCAATGGAAGATTCCAAAAGCTCATGCAAGGTTCGGCTAACACCGGGAGGATATGGAGAGCTCAGGAGATTGCAATTACGGCGGCACGAGAACTGGAACCCCTCACCTTCAAGTCCAACACTACCTCCATACGTGTGACACAAAAGGACTCGGGCTTGCCGGCCTCAAGGGCAGTGGCCAATCTCTCCGCCAACAGTTGCACCCTGGTGTATATCAACTGGCTCTATTACGTCCTCTCGCCTACACCGATCCAGGTCCCGGCCGATGCCAGTGGTTCTCTTACAATTGTGGAGAAGACTGATGGCCTTCACGCAGCCGTCTTGGCGGCTTCTGCTGACAAAGATATAATCACCTTCAACCCCATGGACCGGGCGTTTGCCAAATTTGCAACACTTGAATCGGCAGAGAAGCTACGCAGCGCTCAGTGCTCCAGCCGGACAGTTGCTGGCGGTGTGGTTGCATCGCCAGAGTTTACTTCTCTCGTGACGCCGTCGGTGAATGATGACACTGTAATGCTTGTGGCACAACACATGACAACGTTGAAAGAAGCTTACACCACAATTGGGCATCCAGTAAAAGATATAAGTGTGGCCCAAGCCTCCAGCCGTGCAGCCATGCTGCGGGCCAGTGTAACCAAGGTAGTGAATTTTGGGTTCCTGGGCGATCTTAGCGACGTTATTGACGATATCGGAGATGCTGTCGCTGATGTTGTTGATGATATCGGGGACATCATCGCTTCAGAGGTTGGTGACGTGTGGCAGTGGATGAAGAACACGGCAAATTCCGTGGGGAGGATTGTCAAGGGCACAGTCACCGGCATTTTGCAATTTTTTGCGAAGATTGCAGAGAAGGTCTATCATGCGGTCCTGGACACTGTTCATGTGGTGGTGGGCGCTGTGGAATGGGTGTTTGATAGATTAAGACTGGAGTTGAGAAGCTCATCGTTTTTTTCTCGAAATGTTGTTCCACTGGGACGATATCCGCCGGACAAAGGATGTAACCCACAACATGGTCAGGCTGTGGTTGCAAGATCAGGTGGATAGGATTTCTCAGGCGCGGCAGGTCTTAGACGAAACAATCGCCACGGTCGAGGGGAAGGTGAATGAATGGGCTAACACCGACAGCTGGTCTCCAAGACTCGGGGACATGGTGAAGAAAGCCTGTATCTGGAGCGGCTCTGATCAATTCAAAAACCAGACGCCCGGCTCGGCTTCCCTGGCTGACAAATACAGGGACCATGCTACTCAGTTGCAGATCCTTGGAGACTCTCCAAAAGCACAAGTCGTCGACGAGCTCCTCAACGACTTGTTAACGGCTGCCTCGAACGAGGGCCATGTTATAGGAGCGATTTTCATCCAGCTGGAGACCTTACTTGAACAGTTTGCTCCCTAACTGTCGAGGAAATTCTTAAACGAGTAGCGGGTATCTTGGTCGACGGAGTCTTGTCTAGCGTGCAGGTCGTGGTGGACGCCCTCCTGAATGTGCTGTGCGAAGTCGCGCAGTCTGCTCTAAAAGTCCTTGACAGCTCCGTGAAGGCCATCATCTCCGCGGGGAGCTGGGACGAGTTGGCGGGACTGTTTGGACAGCAACAACCAGATGTTATGAGAAGTGAGGCGGTGCTGGTTTCGTCTTCTTCCTTCGCCTCCTCCTTCACCTCCGACGGGCCAATCTCCATATCAAAGACAGCGCAGAGGGTCACCTTCGAGTGCTGTCATATAACCGCCGGCGCCCTCAGTTTGGTTGGAATCTTCATGTTAGGTCTGGAGGCGGGGGACCAAACAGGAAGCGAGGCCCTTGGCATTTCAGCGGCAATCATAGATTTTGTCATCGCCGCTCCCAACCGCGCTGGCGATCTCCTTGTCCCCATGTATCCGGTTCAATGCTTACCCTTCAAGATCCTCTCAAGGTTAGTCATATCCTTCGTCGTTGGCTGCAAGGTTCTCTTCTCGGGGCCAGCACAGTGGGTATTCCAGAAACACCGCATCGGGACAATGGTGGTTGAAAACGCCCGTGGAGTTGGCGCCGTGATCAACGGCGTGCTCGTTATTCACGACTCGGTGGTGACAATGTGGCATTTCTATGAGCTCAGCGAGAACGCGCTGTGGGATGCTGCCATTGTCGGGGAAGTATCAAGTCTGGCTTCGTACGCCTCGCGCCTGGCTTACGGATGGGCCGTAAATGACAAGGAGCAGATGAGCCGTCTGGTGGCCATAACCATGATGGGTGCGGCAGACGATGTCTTTGGGGCCCCAGGCCGGTGTTGGTGAATCCGCACTGACTTGACATTTATCAAATTGGAGAGAGGAATTTATTTGCTAGAGCACTCTGATAATAAGCTTTGATAATTGATGGGTAGATGCCTGGTAGCACTCCGTATGGACATAAAACTGTTCTTATTCATGCTTCACTTAGTTTTTATAAGATGCTGCCTTCTTACTTGAAGTCTTCTAGAGTTGCATGCGAAATAATAATATTTTTACAGTCATATGTACATCTAAATAACTGTGGAGCCGAGTAATTTTACAACTAGCCCACCACCCGGATTCAGTTAGCCAAAGGAGGAGGAGGGAGCAGCTGATGCTGGAACAGCAGGTCCAGCCATTGATAGCATCCTAAGAGCTAATTCACATATCATAAACTGTGGACTTCTGTACAATGTGGTGGTACTCCAGACCTAAGATGAGGCGCCTGCATGCATGGCGGTACTGGGCGAGAGCATGGCAATCAGTATGCGGAGAATACTTGGCTAATACCGGGCCAGAGAATGCGACCGGGTCCTCAGTCCTTCTATGCATTATGCCTAGGACACATAGCATGCGCACGGCCGAGTCATTTCTCAGCTTTGGGGCTTGAAAGGACCTCCGCGATCCACCATCACTGGGTCTTTCTTGCGCCTAGCGCATTCAATTCGTGCTCGATGCCAGACCAGGCACTTGTCCTCACGGTGCACGATAGCCACCAGTTCCCACTTGCATCCTTACCAATGATGGGCCCCACGTTTCGCAAAGCAAGGCCACCCGAATGATGGGTAGGAATCACGCACGATGGCCTGCCCAGTGGATGCACACGGTCGTGGAGTGGAATGCCCGGGGCAAGAACCGCAGACGAGAAGTCCACTTCAAAGAATCGACCTCGGTGCCAGTTACTACAGCAGACGAGAAGGGAGGTCGGTTCGCCGAACACCGGCGGATGTTTCTCTGAGGCGGATTTGTGAAAAGAGAAGAATGCTTCAATCTGGGGTAGAGTGCGTTGTTGGATGAGCGAGCGGCGGATGTGGGAGGCCACGAAACTGACTGGTTCGCGGAGAATCTGGTGGGTGCGAAGAAAGGTGATGGCTACGAGGGCAGCGTTCGTGATGAAGGCTGTATTTGTGGATGATGATTCCTGGAAGGCGGTCGAGCGGATGTCGAACACGTTCAAGAGGGAGACCAAGCGGCTGGGTGAGGGATTCAGGGCCCTAATCAAGGCCTTGAGCCACCACGCTAAAAGTACGTCACTTTCACTAATGAAGGGAGCAGGCCCTTCCTTGTTTTGCTCGGCTAGCTCGTTCAATGCCTGCTCCCGCATCTCGTCGACATATCGTCCTGGGATGCAGATTACACGTTCACTCTGGCCGCGGTGCCAGATGACCTCGAAGAGGTAGCTGGCGATGAAACCCAAGAAACGGACGCCGGTTAGCAGAAAGGAGCTGTTCACGTAGGTATCGGCCGGGGTTCTGTCGGTGAAGCGCGCCGCTGGATCTTCGCCGACCTGCTGAAAGGTTGGGACCTGATCTTCTCGTTCATTCATGACAGCAGTCCACGCCTTAAGGAAACTTGAAAGGCCCATAGCATCCATGAGCGTGTGCATGAAGGTTACAGTCAGCAGCGTCGCATCGCTGAACGACACCACATCGATGACAAGTTGCGGTCGATCTGAATATAGCCAGTCCTCGATCTTTGTGGGACAATCCGCGGAGAGACATACGGATGCGAGGTCTGCGGGGTCGCCGAGAAGTGATGGCTGGCCAGTAGCTTGAGGGAAACTGGCAGCTAAAGGGTGCTCCTTGATGCCCATAGGGTGCTTAACGACCGTGTAGTTGAAGCCAGGTCGTTTTTCATCGTACTGCGCTGGTATATGGTATTCCAATTTTCCGTCATCCTAACGTGTGTGAGGTGCGAGCTATGTACCATGGGAGCGATTTTGATCCATACCTTCTTGCGAAGTCGCGCTCCTAGTGTCCGCCAGCCGTCCAACTCCAAGAGACGTTCCAGTGATTGGCGTAGGACCTCTGGGTCAAGGACGTCGTCGAATCGGTAAGTAACATGCAGGCAACAAGCGCGCATGCGATGCTGGTCATCCCATGCTGGGATCGGCAGTACAGTGTCCGTGGGGTTCCTTAGCGGCGGAAGCGGGGCCTTTCTCCTGAAAAAGCCCATTATGGCACAAATTAGACCAGAGTTTTCCCGGACAACGTTATCGCTTGATCGGTCTAGGTGGCAGAGGAATCAATGATGTTATCTATACCGGAGGACCTCGCCAAAGCCCGGCTGTGAGCTCAAAGTCGGGCCCAAAACCCGAGCCCGAAACACGAGCTCGCAAAACCCGAGGATGAGGCATTTCTTGCTGTTCCAAAGCACACATCCTCTTTTTTGGTTAAGCTGGTAAACAACATATATATTAAAATATCAATAATGAACACTTGCGGGGATATTGAATGCCTATGTAGTAGGGATATCGAATGGTAGCATACTTGGAGACATATTTTCAACATGCAGTACATCTGATGGGAAACCCCACCTCTTTCCATATAGGAAAAAAATATACAAATTCTGATTAACAGAGTACTGCAATACGAGCACTTGATATATTTATGAAGTATTCGATACCATATTATATGAGTATTTGCATTCAAGCCCGCGGACGAGCCGCCGAAATGGCTTTTGGGGAGCCCGGGCTTTGGCAAGGTCTAATGCACCACAATGAGCAGTATTTCAATTTTTGTTAACTGACCATTCAGGAGAACAGTGGAAGGGATTAGGTTTCAACGGCTGGTGGGGTGGCCTTTCTGACCTATAATGAATCAACAACCATTGCAATCTCATTATGATCATCTTACAGAAGGTAATCCAGGCTAGTTCTCTTTGGTCGAGACGTCAACCTGCTACCCCAGTTAAGTTCTGATGTGCCAACTTAGCTCCATCTTTCGTTTCTCATTGGGAGAGGAAGGTGGGAAGAAAATTTGATATAGCCACTGGTTACGCATTTATATATATATTTAGTGGTACGGTTTTCTCATATCCTTTTTAAGAGGCCGAGATTTGCAACTGACAATAGTAGTCATCGCTTCGGAAGCCCGAGCAAAGTATCTTTGAAAGTGGTCTCTGGCATCTATCAATAAAAGCGTAGGTGGCGGTTTTTTGTGCACAAGACTTGTACACTTGTTTCGGTTTCGATTACTTTGGCGGCTACTTACGTGAGTAACGGATATAGCTGCCTTCAGCCAGAATCATTATTCAACTCATGCTTTACTCGCGATCATAACAACCTGGCGTGTGACCACAACTTGCAGGGGTCGAGATGCCGGCTACAAAGGCCGGATATGGCGTCAAATGTACGAGAATACCTTCGGCAACCAGAAAAGAAAACCGACTTCCGACTTCGCCTGCTCTGGATAGCATTGGTACTCTTCAGGCTGCAGCGCCGTTCTGCGTTATCGTCGAGCCCGGTGTCTCCTTTTCGTCTACGAGGAAATCCAGCAAAGAGGTCTGTCCCTTTGGTCGTCTGTTCCGGCTATCGGATGGGGATCCGTCCTTGGCAACACTCTTGATAGGGGATTTGGATATACTCCGAATGGAGAACACTCGCAGCCTCAGTGTGGTATGGAGGTGGTCCTCCCAGGTGGTGAATTGTTGCGGACCGGGATGGGGGCTATGAAGGATAATGCGACTTTTGCACTCTACAGAGGGTACATTGAGAGAACTGGTCATAAATACCAATGACTAAAAAGAGCGAAGGATTAGGGCCAGGGCTTGACGGGCTATTCTATCAGTCAAGTCTGGATAGGTCTCATACGGGTTGAAAGATACCTGTCGAGTGTTGTTGACAAGATAGCCATTGTCACGAGGCTGGGCATACTCATCACACGGGCTCGCCACCCTAAAGGTTAGAGAGGAGGGCCTTGTGCCCCTAGTTGTTGGCACACTCTCAGATCGTTTGCGTCGCTCTATAGTCCTCAATTCCCCATTGATTGCGAACATCTTTCATATTGCACTCAACCTCGAGGGAGCCCGAGATCCATGCAAATTCGACCCGTATATGGACCCGGAGTCAAATGTGCCCTACCAAGACTTGGAATAGATTCGTTCTTCCCAATTTAAATTGGACTTTTTGGAAGGGTTACTTCTCCATCTACGGTTCAGTTGAGATGCTTCCGGCTTTGATCAAAATGTACAGTGGGCTTGCTCGCATATCCCCGCAGTTCAGATCAAAGTTCGCGAATTCCAGGTTCGTCTGGGAGCTTCACTTATCAACGCAGGGAGGGATATTATAGTAGAAGAGATACCGCATTGTGGTACCCTGACATTTGCTCTGCTAGGAATCCTAGATACCCGCGCACAAACCAGGTGTAGGTATATTGACTATTCGCCCATCCTGCCAGCATCGGATCGGGAACGGCCCTTCATTGAAGCCAAGTTTGATTTTTTTGCCGACTTGCACATCTACCCGCGCTATGCGACGGGGATTACACTGGTCGTCTTCGTGCCCAGCGAGGGGCACAGGTGAATGAGTTGTATAAGTCTCTTACATCTAACGGAGTAAAGATGGGTTATATCCTGTACCGAACGCATGTGAGGTGTATGGATGATGTCGCAGGCAATCTTGACTCTAATAATGGCGCATTCGGTTCCCTAATGACACTCTTGAAGCTTGAAGGATACATTGGGCCTGAAGCGAGTGTTGTCACCAGGAAAAGTCCCGGATCCGGAAACTCTGGCCAGCCATCGGTGAAGTCAGTGATCTAGGACGCCTTCTACTCATATCACGAGGCAGGGGTTCATGATGTGCTTGTGAGTTTCACCACAGAAAACCGCTACTAGGCCCCTACTAACCAGCCATGGTTAGATTCGGTTCGAGTCAGTTTCGATTCGGGTTGGATAAACGGTTAAATTAAATGGTTTTCGGAATTCAATTTCTCCTACCTTAGGCCTATGCTAAGGGAATACCTATAGAAATTAATATTTTTATATAAAATTATAGTAATTAAAGCTATTATAATCTATATCTAAAATTTCGATTCAATACCTTTAGGGTTGAATGAGTGGTGGCTGAATAATTATCTAAAGATATAATGATTGTCGAAGGCTGAGATATATATATGTACGTAAACCATTACCACTTTCATAGCAACCCATAACTTAACAGAAATGATTATTCCCTTAAATTCTGAAAAATCTAAATCACTGCCTAACACACTACTTCAAAAGTCAGGGTACATTGATTCTCCTAATATAACAGGCCATACGGCCCATACTTACCTTGCATTTAGGTACTAGGTTATAATCCCTTGTTAACACAGAAGTCAAAGGAGTAGCATAAAACATCAGTCCTCTTGATTGCGGACTGGTCAGTATGACGCTAACTCTTTTATGGGAATGGAGTAACAGGTAGGGGATCCTACCATATCAGGAAGTCAAAGTTGTTTGAGATTGACTGTGCTTTGAGCTAACTCTCTATGTCAGTGCGATACTTCTCACACTTTATATAGACAGTGTCCTCTGGTGATCTACTATAGCAGATGGAATATTCCCTGTCACTGAGCGGGAGAATCCGCGGGAAACCCAAAATGGAATTTGTCTTCGTCGCAAGGTTTTGCCTCTCATAGAGCGAGCCCTTGGTGCAGGAAGTTCAATTTCCATGGGAGTCAACGGGGTTTAAGCCAGCCCTTTTCAGCATCCCATCCCTGAAGCACAAGCGGCATCATACCCCAACTTCGCGAGTGGGTCGACCGGCTTTTTCCTCTTCGTGCTGATGGTATATTCGCACAGTCGTATTTACTAAATTAATATGACGCTGGGTGACGGACACGACAAGCAGACCTTCTCCGGTCCTTTCTCTTTTTGTTTTGGCCATTCACAAAAGGTACAATAGAGCTAAATCTACTTGACATTGTATTCTTCATTTTCAGGCAGAAAGCCCAGCTGCAGTTATACAGTAATGTGTAGCCAAAGAGCAGATCACGCTACCATTTGTTCGCTTTTTTTAGAGCTCATGCTTGGCCATCAGAGCGTGGCTTATAGGCTCACACCGGACAGTGGAAGCTTTCCTATACGGCTTAATTTCCTCCTATGAATCCTATACGAGCCCTGTCTGCCTAGTGCTGACTGTTGTGTTGTGGCAAGCTTCCTTGTAGTTGCTCTTAACCAGGATTCTTATGCACTAAGTCACATGCTCAGATTCTACTGGGGCAAACACGATGATCCTAGAACTTTATCACTTCTTCCTTGCTCTAAAATGGTCTTGTCCCCTGTAGCGTCATTCGTATTAGGATTGTTCCTGGAGAGTCCTCGTGTTGCCGTTATTGAAGACGAATACAATTCTTCCTTGAAATGAAAATGAATGGATGCTCGATGTCACCGTTGCATTCTCCTTTGTCAAGAAGTCGCATGGCTTTGATTCCTGATCTGATCCTACAATCTCTTCAACTGAATTCAGACAAGGGATAAATAGACCCTCGTAGCCCTCAATCTCCTTCAATATTCTAGTGCTATTCTTACCTCAAGTTTCCTCTTACCCTTGATTTCCTCATACCTACAACCCTTGACGGTGTTTCTCCAAATGTCGACCTCAGCGATTCTGCTCCTTTCCCTCGCGGCTCATGTCCTTGGTCAGGCCACTCATTCCAAAGGCATTCCCTCAGTCGGCGTCCTGTTCAGCGGCAACATCCAAGACCATTACTGCACTGCCAGCGTCATTGACAGTACGCATGGCAATGTGATCCTGACGGCTGGTCATTGCATTAGCGGCACTGGCAAAAACCTTCACTTTGCTCCCGGTTATCATGATGGCCAGGCCCCTTACGGAATATACCCCGTCACCGCGGCCTATGTCCACCCCAATTGGAACAAGAACCATGATATCGAGTACGATTTCGCATTCCTGACTCTCGGCGAAGGCAAATATGATGGCAAGTTTGTTAACGTCCAGTCCGTCGTCGGTGGTAACAAATTGATCACCAACGGGGGCCACAAATATAATGTCGAAGTCGTGGGCTACAACGACAAGGAACAAAGTCCCGTTCAATGTCGCGTGGACACCTATGAGGCTAAGGCTGGCCAGCTAGGTTTCAATTGTGGTCCGTTCCGAGGCGGCACAAGCGGGTCTCCGTGGATTGCCAATTATGACTCTCACTCCAGACACGGCAGTGTAGTGGGTAACATTGGCGGTTGGCACACAGGAGGGTGTACATCTGGCACCTCGTACTCCTCGCACTACGGCTCGGGCACTCGCTCGGTCTTTGATCGTGCCAATGCAGGAGGTCATGGCGACACAGTTCGGGGGGGAGCATCGAGTGGTTGCTAAGATTAAACCGTGTCCTGTAATTGGTCGCTATCGGGTAATACTCTGAGTACAGGACCACCATTATTGGATTCATGGCTAAGCATGTCGCACCCTCTTTCAGCGGAAAGCTCTCAGTTCCTAGATAGCTCTGATTCAGTTCAGGGTGTTGTAATAGTGAGTTAATCAGCGCTCTAGATCCTTCTATCAGAGATTGCAGTGGCATCAATAATCACTAAACGACCACGTTATATAGCGTCCTTACCACTGTTCAGTGCATAAATTCAAGCTCTATATAATTTTCCTATTGCCATATTTCATGGATTTCCCCTAGAAATAAGAAGTTTTGAAGTTATGCAACTAACAGTAACGTAAAAATCCTAGAACAATAAGTGAGGTGTTGGTACTCTAAGATTTAACTAAGCATAATCAAAGGGCAGCTGCAAGCCGCAACCTTAGGATTCAACAACGCCTCGTTGCAAGCTAGATATATTCCCAAAGGAAGATCAGGGTATGCGTAATCACCGGTCTGGCCGCAGTCGAGGCATGCACTAGCAATGCAAAAGGGTTCACTATCCTAGAGCATCTGGACCTCTGCAATGATAACACTTGATATATCCTAGGATGGCCACGCAGCTGACTTCGTGGTGCCGATATATCTCTTTTTATCTTGACGATTGCAAGCCTGATATCTCGAGTCCTGAAACAGGTTGTAAGTAGAATTATATTTCATTGTTTCTAGCCATCAGAAGTCCACTGAGGCGAAATCTACTTAGATCGCCCATCGATTGCAAATCCAGTCCTCAAATCAAGAATTACACCCTGGCCCTGCCCTTGGCAGCAGACTCAGATCCACGCTTCACGTGGTCAAGAATGACAACTCTTTGCTCGATATTGCCAGTCATCCTATTGAGGGAACGTCGTTCCTGCCGTAGTCAAAAACTCTCGATGCGTCCTCCGTTGTGGACGGCCTATGCGGGGAGGACGACCAAACCATTGTGGAACAGTCACTGTCGGAGGTCCATATCCTGGTCAATGTGAGGGACGATGAAGGGATAGACGCCCTGAATTCTGAGTCAACAGTATCATCTTGAAGTCGGACTCCTAAGGCCTCGCCGGCCTGGGCATCCTTGGGCCACCTCAGAAGGCCCTGATGTTATATAGTCAGAGATTTGATGGTTTGTCTATTTACCTAAAGTGGTTAGTTAACTCTATCATCTATAGACAAACCACAACACACAGTAGAAATACTTTGTTTGTTTGTCTAGCCTTTGCTACCTCCACCATAACCATAGATGATCTATGGAGTATTATGAGCAAAGAACTCAAATACTTTGATGATGTTTTACTTACGTCATTCAACCGACAACTAGTTAGGTGGTTGCGGGAACAGTTCTATGCTTTCACCGTTTTCAACATAAACTATTGAAAATTTAATTTTTCCTGTACTCGTTTCTGCGTTCGTCTCGTCAGCAAATCATCACCGCACCCCGATTGGAGTAGTTACACGTATTACGAAACAAGGACGCAAGCGTCATCTGATTTTCCTAAGAAAGACAGGACAAAAAGAAAGAGCATTTATCCCATTCATTAATCTAGTTTCTGTCAGTCGATCAGCCGATCAGCCACCCTAACATCCAAATTGAATGGGAAGAGAATAGCGCCGTAGCTGTGATTGGGCAAATCTCAAAGACTGAGTTATCCAATTGCCGTTGCCACTCATTGGACGGCCCAGCCACACCAACCTGGCCCGTCGGTTTCGTTCGCTTCGCTGGTCTTTGCAGCGGGAGATTAAAGGGACCTTGAGACATTTAGCCGAAACGTTCATTAGATCTCAAAATATTCCTACAAAATCCTATGTTACCAATAGCGCTGTCGTCTGTTCCTAACTCGCGGCTACCAACGGACAAAAATGGATGATAACCAAGTTGAAGACCCTTCGGAAGGGTGTCCATCGGCACCCAAACCAGATGGGCCTGGATTGGAAACGTTCAATCGGGAGTGGGACGACACCTACTTCAACCACTTTCGACTGAGCCCCCATGAACTGTCCTTCCTCGTTGTCCATGACCTTCGCTATCTACACATGAAGAACATCTATTATTATCAGATGGAGCTTTTGAAGAAATATCCCGCCGAAATTGAACTAAATAATGACAATGTCCAGGAACTGCGTAGGCTTTTAGGCGAGTACTGTAAGTATTCTCAGTCTGAAAGGAGCTACCACTCATCTCTACCCAGGCCAAGCTCTCCAAAACTATGAATTTGTGCTCCGGCTTTCTAAGCCTTCGAATCGAAAGGCTCGTGTTCAACGCGAATGTCTCGAACATGTTGGAGCGGGGGATAATATCGATCGAAATGACCATCGAGTTATCCATGGTTCTGCTGTTGGATTCCTGGACCGCATGTTCTCCCAGGACATTTCGGACGCTGCTGAAAATAAAAAGATCAGACTGAGGGGGAAGTTTGACATTTTGTTTCGGGACGTTTCGGTGAGAGATATCATTCGTCGCGTTGTGGTTGGCACCTTTGTTGGCGCCCCATTCCTTCTTGTCCCAATGATCATACTTCAATTTCGTACGACGACTGCGTGGAAATTGACTACAGTCTCAGTTGCTGTTGTGGTTTTCTCTATTTTCCTGGCTATCTGTTCTGATCAGAGCAATGCTGAGCATGTTGTAGCTGTTGCTGCTTATGCAGCCGTTATGGTTGTTTTCATAGGCACCACGACGCCCGCTGGATAAAGTCAAATTAGCTCTTCCTAATCCATCCTCTACCTCCGCGGCTCCGGTTCTTTCCCATGAGTCACTGCAAACACTATCCCACAGGCCATGGAAAGTTGAAGTAGAACTATGAGATGGGAACCCACCGTCCGTGTCGGGCTGTTTCGGCGTGGGTCGACACCCCCCACCCCCCGGGTGACCACGTCACGCCGCCGTGCGGCCCCAGGACCTCGGGGGGGCGGATCCCGATCCCCCAGTTCATCGGCGCCCTGGCCATTCCGTGGTGCTGGTCGCGGATGCCCAACCAGAGGGCTGGACAGGCAAACAACCCCCCCCTGCGCCCTTACATTATAGAAACCTATACACAATAGATGCAAGGAATATGGCCGTATGACGTATGTAAGCGAGCTATCTAAGTGAGCACAAACTAGATCAGTTCTCATGACCTGCACCATTTAAGATCTAGATGTAATTAATAAAACGATTGTTATATCTTTACGAATAGGTCCTTGTTTTTGTGACTATAACTGTCCTGACTATCCCATTTTATCAGCAGCTAAGAGAAGTCACGTATTATAACTGTTTCTCTAATAACCATTATCATCCCATAGGAAGCAGTATATAATCTCTATTTCTTTTTGCGATCAAGTCTATTAAAACAAACATAATATCTTCAAAGGCAGCTTGTTGTGTACCTAATAATAGCTAACTAATAATTTCTTATTTTAAGAACTATAATAAATAAGATAACCTCCTATAGTATTACTACTATATAATATAATAAGTCTTTTATATAAAATCTAGAGGCCCAAACATCACCATCCCGCGATATTATATCTAATGAAATACATCTCATTTTGCCTCCCGCATTTTCTCTTCGTGGTATTTCGGATGTGGTAACCCAAGTGGAAAGATCCATAGACGCGAAAACTAGGTGGTAACTTGAGTGAGTGTTATTGACATTTTCTTGTGTTCAGCTACTACCTTATTGGTCTTCCCCACTGGGTTCTTTGGCTGGAATATCTTTCCAATCTTCCAAATCCGGCTCTTTAAGTAGTAGGAGACCTTCCCCTTCAGCATTGTCGGCTCCTAGCTTGTAGCTTGATTATGGCGTATTATTGGATAGATTCAGGGAGCCATCCTTGATAGTGATGATCTTAAGCTCCAAGGGCAAAACCTTCATCCCTTCCCCTCTAACTGTAAAGTATGCCTTAATATCCTTCGCATCAGAAGTCATCGCAGTTGTATTACCCAGTCCGCCCAGAGACACTTGGACTCCCTGGCTGGCAGCTGCCATCTGGGCAACCATGACTAGTTGAATCTTACCACATTTCTAGCATTCAGCAGCTTCCTCCTCTGAAAGGGCCACCACAACATCTTGACACATCAAGTGGCCAACCACGAGACAGACTTGATGCTTGGGTCTGCCTAAACCAAACCAAACTTCTTCCTCTCCTTCAGCCATTCAGCGACTGTAAGGCAGAATTCATTATTACCAGTGATTCTCTACCAGAACTGGCTGTGTTGCTTAAGATGTTTGATGTATATGACTTTTCTGTTGAGATGCAGCTCTCCTTGGGCGGAAGTTGTGTATTGTAGCTTGCCCAATCCTTTGAGGGAAAGCTCTCCCGAGCTGTTCTTAATAACCTCTTTGCTCATTATCAGGTCTTCATATGTATCTTCAAGCAAATTATGTTTATTGTACACTAGTGGATGCTCTGGGATTGAGTTGGTGAGTGGAGATAAGTGGTTCTTGATGGTGGCACCAAGTAAATCTTTCTAATGTTCGCCGGGCAGCCAACCGACCGTCGGTTTAAGACCAAGGAATTCAGGATCCCTTGCTATGCTAATAGATAGGTATCATCAAGAAGTGATGGAACTGTAGTGTAAAATCTCATGACTTTATGAGTTCTGACGCACATAGTCTGCAGAAGGCGGGTGATCCATAGACTAATGTATTTCCCAACCAAGCGGTCCACCTAGGCAAGCAGCCCACCCCTCATCAAATTTCAACGCGTTTAAATGTTTGAAGCTATCCAAATCAACCAAAATAATATATTTTTATTGGATCTAGCTAGTACAGTGTGTAGGGCATCTAATTCTAGTATGCCGTATAATGAAGTAATTAGAACACCTCAGTAGCGCGTATTTAAGGGGTAGAGTTGCATAACCGAACCGCTAAAATCGAATCCAACCCTCACCGAACTCGCAGCGGTTCGGGCTCGGTCCCTAGCCTAGGGAATCTCACCGGTTTTGGTTTCCCTACCCCAAAACTCGAGACCATTTGGTTAATCCGTTGGTTACGGTTTTGAGGTTTTATCCGCCAAGGTTAACCAACCCTTACTGTTTTGCTTAGTAATCACTAAATTTCTAGGATTTTCCTAAAAAATATTAATATCACTAGATAGCATAGTATCTAGTGTATCTAACTATGAAATATCAATTCAAAATATCTAGTGGTTGGCGAGATATAAGGGAATAATCATTTCTGTTATGGGTTGGTATGGAAGTGGTGATGGTTTATGTACATATATGCATCAACCTCCGATAATATCTACAGTTAAAGAATGATTTTTGACCACCACCCATTCAACCCTATAGATATTAAATCGATATTACAGATATAGATTAAAATGACTATAATTACCATATATTTCATACTATAATATTAATTTTCTATAGGTATTTTTAGTAGGCCCTAGGCATAGGAGAAATTTGAATTCTGAAAACCATTAAAATTTAGACCCGAAACCAACCCAAATCGAAACTGGAGTATAGATTTAATATATTAAATATAAAGATTTTACAATGTCATCTCTAATATTAGATTTCCTGTCTACCAAGTAAAGTTAGACAGATAGTTTAAGAGAAATCAGACCTTCATCTATGTTCATTCCATGTATATGCGTTTATCACGATTATAATTACCGCTGAGTGGCTATCAAATCCATAATCATTTGTGAGTAGGATAGGGACGATGGTAACCGAGAATCACAGGAAGGCAAATTCGGATGGAAGTACAAGGCGACTGGATCAGCATGATAGGCGAGATGATCTGAAGAGCGATTGAACCAGCGCTTTGATGACGGACAACATCCAAACAGTCTTGCTTGCAGAACATTACCCTTTGTCTGGGTCATGTTTTTCACGTTCAGGTTTCTCATCATGCCAACCCAAATGAAGCCTAGAACCATGAATGCAGTACCGGCAATGAGCATCCTTGCTTGGGCATAACCGTATGCCTCCACAATGGCTGTCCGTATAGCACTTCCGACTGGGTAGCTGAGCTGGGTCGGGAGCGATTTGTAGATCAGGTCCAAGTCTGGCACGGCGGACGGGGGTAAGTTTTTCTTTAGTTTCGACAGAAAAGTATTGGTCCAGATAGCTCCACAGATCGCACTGCCAATAGAGCCACCAATGCTGCCCATGACAAACAGCAAAGCGAGCACGGCGGCGACGTGTTGGTGGTCAACGGAAGCGAGGACTGCCAGTTGCACGCAGAGAATGAAGACACTTCCGGCAACTGAGAAGAAAACCTCACACATAACAATGTACCCAATATATCCGCCCGGTTGACGAAAGTGAATCATCAGACCAAGGCCGAGGATATAGAGCGGAATGCAGACCCAAAGGATCCACTTGAAACGACCCGTCCAGCGGATCAGCCAACCAGCGAGGAATAAGAAGACGAAGGAGACCACACTGAAAGTGTTGCTCACATATCCAGCCGTAGCAACATCCAACTCGTACACAACTTGCAAGAAAGACGGGAGATAGCTGGCATAGCAGAAGTAAGAAACCTGGTAGGTCATATTCAGCAGACATGCGCCCAGCACGGTCCGGTCAATGAGAAATCTATAGTTCAGGAATGGCACGGGAGCCACAAAGATTTCGTAGAGTCCGAAGGCGATAATGAGTAGCAGCCCGAGAGTAATCATTGCAATGATATAGCCGGTCTGATAACCATGGGGCGCCGTTGCCGCTAAAGTAAACGGGAGAAGAAATATGACAAAACCGCCAGCGAACAGAACAACTCCGGGGACTAAGTGAGTTCACGAGAATATTAGCCTTCTGGGGGGACTTCGAGGCGACCGCTCTTGTTGTTACTTACGATCGAATTCCACAATGGCCCACCAAATTGTCTTCGGGGTGATTTTCCAGTTTTCCGTCTCCTTGACGAGAATACACTTTTTCTTGGCTTGGCGTAGGTGGTAAGCCAAAATGCCGTAGATTGGCAGAGCAACAGCCGGCAAGATAATTGCCCACATGCCAAAGCCCCATCGCCAATTCGAATGGGCAAGGAGATCCGACGCAGCCTTGGAACCCGCGAACGCAGAGATCAAAGCAGGTGACGAGGTGAAAGCAAACGCTAGACCTCGGTTTCGTAGATTTGTCACATCCGTCGCAAGGACATCCCAGGTGTAAGAAAGTCCTCCAAACCCGACCTTGTAGAACACCTAGAGCCAGTCTAGCCGTTAGACAATGCTAAGGGCGAGCTCTTTGGTTGTTATATTTTACCTGTCCGGCACAATAGGTGGGGAGATCCTGGGACGAAGCCAGAAGAACCAAGCCCAGAATACAGAAGAAAGTCATCAGAAGGAAACCCTCTGCACGACCCCAAACATCTAGCGCCTTGGCCATAGGAATGTACACTGAACCTCCCATAACTGATGCCACAATGTTGATGACGGTCAACAGCGAGTGGCCCTGGAAAGAACTCGTGGCGTAAGCATTCAAGCTCGTAACGATGGAGGCTCTGAAATCATTGACCAGCGTGAGAAACCAGATGCTATCAGATAAATGCCATGTTAGCAGCCTGATCTGCAGGGATCGGTACATGCAGCAAGGGTAGTGATTCACTACATACAGTACTAAAACTGTGAACGCCGTAGCCCTTGTCCAGGCCAGGGTCACAGCCTCTATCTTCTTGACACCAGACTGGACTCTGTCACTCGGCTTGGCCTCCTCATTACTGGTCACTTCATTGACGGGCGCATGAGCAGCCTCCTTGTCGTCGGCTCTGATCTGCAAAACACTTGGGTCATCGGCTTGCGTACCCTCAGCCCCGTGAGCAGGCTTTTCACCAACGATCGAGTGGAATTTGTTCATGATTGCCTACTGTAATTTAAACTCTGCATGCAAATGAAAGATTAATAAGGAGTGCGGAACGGATGTTAAATACCCGCGGAACAGATTATATACAACCCTTACATAAGTCCAGCGCCTGTGCTGTGGGGCCGAATGCCATGTATGTTTTTTCTAGGCACACGGCGAGAACGGAGGGAAAGAACAGAAGAGAATGCCGGCTGTAAGGCAATCGATTCCAGACAAACAGGTCCCACACCTGGTGTTACCGCGATACAGGTGCCCTTACGCCTAGCGGCCCACATGTGTACGGGCCTAACAAGGATTAATTGACCATAGTATGGCCTCGTTCTCACCAATAGCACATAAAAAATGAATTTGCCCAGCAATTTACAGCAAATATACTCAATTACAGGCACATCACATGTTGGTAAGGTCGGTTTGGTACCACTTCGCTTACTCTACCGTTAGTTAGCGCCAGTTGGGACTCCATTGTGAAGTGGGAATAATTCGCAATCATGGATTGAACTTCCGCTGCATGTCCAAGTTAAATCATCCTGGCCTTAACGCCCAACGGATCTTGGATGGCGCGGATGGCGCCACAAAGGATGTTAGGTGATTCCAGGTCATGGTCCAGGAACACGCCAACAGGCATCTAACTCCAAACAGTTTGATTCAGACTTTCAAGAAACTGGGACGTTTTCGTATTTGCTAGGAATGAATGACTTCATTTGTGTCCAGGATTGACCGCTCAAGCTACGAGCGTGGGCCTTTGAAAAAGAAGGACCAGAGGCTGGACAGGAGCAGTCGTGGCGGCCAGCTGGTCAAGACCGAAAACCAGCGACTTCGGGTTATGCTGGATCTTTCCTTGCGCAACCATTCCTGCCTGGAAATCGAATACCGCACCTCCCCCTCCTCAATTCCTGGTGGCGGAGTGTCGTACTTGTTAAAAAAAGTCTCAACGTGGTTCAGCCCACAGCCGGCCATAACCGCCTGAGAAGCCTTGTTGAAAGTCATCGTCTCGCCAATCACCTCCGTCAGACCCAGTTCCTCGAAGGCATAGCGAACCATCTCCCGACCCCCCTCCTTGCCCCCAAAACTTCGATGATACTCGGAACCCATACTCCGTCCGATCGGTCATGAATTTCTCGGGGTATTCTTTCGTGGAAATGGGGGCCAATATCCACCAACCCACGAACTCGCCTTTGGCAAAGCCGGCCCAGGCCCCGAAACCAGGAACAGACGTTGCGCAGCCCATCAGCCAGGTATGAACCTGGATCACTTCATCTTCGGTAAATGGCCGGCCGAAGGCGACCATCTTCATAACCTCTGGGTCCATGTCCAACTGCATCGTGAACTTGCGGTGCTCGTGGCCCATGGGGGCTAGTTCTAGGCGTGCAGTGCGCAGAGTGGCCTGAGCCTTGATAGTCATGTTGTAAGGAGGGTGATTGTGGCACGATGAATAGAAGAGAGTCGATGAGTCTTGCTTCTGTTGGTTTGTAGTACAGCTTTTCTTTTCTTCTGGGAGAAACTACGGAGTCTCGCCATGTGTACCTCCTGCTTCCCTATATACTCCGCAAGGTGGCTTTTAGGGGAACCCTTTAATGGCTTGTGTGACACAGTATCGAAAAGGCTGCAGGCTCGGAGCAAGGTAAAGAAGATGAGTAAAGCTCCTAGTGTCTATTAATTTCCATCTAGTCGAACTTCTCTCATGTGGGAAGTCAACAGCGGGTGAGCATCCATGTATAACAATGTTGGTACGTCCAGTCCTTCGCTCATTGGCCTTTGGGAGTGGCAATTGTACGTTGATTCTGCCTTCGTGAAATTCTTCTTTCATGAAGATGGTATCACCTGGAAGGCTGTGAAATGCACTAGCACCGCTGAGGTAAAAGATATCCAGGACAACTATTTCCAGCTAATAGAAATGATAGGGCATCAGAGGTTCAACAGTTCCCATGCGCAACTGGTGTCCTTTGGTGTAAAGCAGACACTAAACACTACATCTACTCCATTAGGACCGCGACATGAAAGACTAGGATTTCAATTTGCTTGAGTTGGTGATGGTGGTCTCCATATTAGTGAGCCTTACCAAGTGAATAAGTCCCAGAGGTAGGGACTGGAAAAAATGAGCCTGAAAAGATTACAGATACGTGGCAGAGACAGAATATGTTCCAGAATGAAAAGCAGCTACATGACCGTGCCAAGTATGTATCTACAATAATTTATCGACATTGTCGTAAGGTCCCTATACCGCTGCCGAGATTGGCGGTATGTGATACAGTTATTGAGCTTTGCCAGCAAGCAGCAAGGGATCCAAGAGTGCCTAAATCCGAGCAGGCAGCCTTAGCGAGATAGTGGGACCAAATCAGCAATCGCGCACAGGGCCTGGCAAAGTCTGGACTGTAGCCAGCGGGGGTCATTGATTAGTCGATGTGACACCACAATATCAATCAGATAAGATAAATCCCTTGCCGGTAATCTCCGAGTCTTGGCATTCCTGCGGGGGTCTAGGCTGAGGCGGGTGGAGACCGGCCACCACCCTACTCTGTAGACAATTTCTTATGACACAACTGAACCATCCCACCAATATGCGTGGCGTCTCTGTATGCGTTACTTACGGACGGCGGATGAGACGCACACCCCGAGCCGTCCCGTAAGGTTGTGGACGGACCCAAATCCACACTCTCACTCGCTGGCCCCCAAACATCCAAGGGCGAAAATCTCAGCCCACTTTTTGATGAGGGTGCTAGGGAAACTTGTCTTGACTTAAAAGGTTAGTTGTATTTTATGGTTTCGATCCCCTTGTCCATTTTACAGGAGATTACTAGTTCCAGCCCTCTTTCTTTTTTGACCTGGTCTTGGTGACCAGACTGTCCAGTCCTGTGTTTCTAGGGGTGCCGCGTGTTTCCTACGCTCTACCTGTCATCACCCTCCTAGTTCCGTACTTCCATTTTTCCATACTGACACCCGATCGCCGGAGGGTCGTTCCCAAGGTGCCATCCACTTCAGAGTTCACAGGAGATTAGGTAATTGGGTTTTCTGAAGTCATACATGAAAGGTCTCGTGGTGTTGCAAGCCACGAAATTTATTGGGCTAAAATCAAGATGTGCACACCAGGCGGCGTTAGACGTTTCCTATGACCGGAGAAAAGGCCAGTCCTCGAAGAACATGGTCAGGCTTCGACTCAACGAGCACGACATCACACTCGTGTGGTCCTCCCCCTCATACTCATTTTGTATCACAGTATGTAGCTGGTTGCCCCCTCGCAATATCCCACACAGATTCAGAGCATTGTCCGCCATTCTCAAATCCGTTGCGATCTGTTTTCTTGCTTCATAGTGATCGAGCGGCTCGTTAGCCCACTGCGGTGGGTTTTGCTCCAAGGAACCCCAGGAAACCATCAACGACGGGGATTTGTCATCTGAAGCCTTCTCATTTTCCAAAAAGGCCCTTGCCTCGTGCAAGATACATAAACTATTCCACAAGATCGAGGGGCTGCTAGCCATGTAGCAATCGAATGAACGTGGGCGTGTAAATAATGCATGGAGGGCGAGCAAGCCCCCATATGAATGGCCATAGAGCGCTTCTCTGGAGAGAGACACCCGTGGGAGCCGGGCCGTCACTGCAGGTCGAACCGAATTTTCAATGAAGTCAAGGAACATATCCGCACCTCCATATCCGGGAATTTTGGACGCCGTGGGCAGAGTCAGATCGAAACTGCGTCGTCGTGCATCATAGACCTTTCCGTTTAAGGGGTATCCAATAGCGACAATGATGCCTCCGCCAGCGAAATGTGATGAGGCTGCACGACGCCATGCAGCCTCGGTCGCAGTCAGGAACAATGAATTCCCGTCAACAAGGTAGCTGGTTCAAGTAGGTAAGCCGACACATCTTCCAGAGTGCTAGGCCATCTGTGAACGCTTACATGATAGGAAGGGCCCCACGATCAGTCTGGTTATCTTGCCAATGTAGTGGCCAAGATACTTGGATAAGGTACGTTTCTCCCTGTTCGCTTTTCAGGTAGAACTGCTCCGAGTTGGGAATCGGGACTGGGCTTGGCCTGCCCCCTATCTTGATCGTTTTATACATTTAGACACTGAAACTCCTGCAGGCCGGGCTTAGAGAAATCAAAATCCATACCGATTACATTGCAACTGATCGCGAATGCGTGGGAAGGAAGTTTCGTCTTATGAGACCGGATCAAGAGTACATCTACCGGGGCAGCAGCAACAGGCGGTCTCGGAGATTTTCTTGTAAGGCCCCGTTTCGGACTCGCCGCTGCGACATCGCACACTGGTGCTTTTTGAACTGCCCATCCTGGCGGGCTTGTTTTACGCCGTAAGATTGCCTTGTAAAATACCAGGACCCCCAAAAGTGGATCAATGCGCTTGTGACTCCCTGGCCACTCAGAACTATTCTCCATACTATTGACCCATCGAGGCCAGAAACCCTAATATGATCAAAAAATTATCAATCGTATCAGGTCGGTCAACAGCATCCCCCCGGCCCCCAACCCGGGGCCACTGTTGGCGTGATCTAATAGCGTCCAGACTGATATAGAATACCGGACTCGGCTCGAAATGTTTCCGATACCGGCTTAGCATCTTGGAAGAAACGTAAGGATCTGGTGGAGACATGATCTTATCCAGGAGGAGGCGGCAGCGGTGGGGTATACAGCTTGGCAATAGAATCGCTAGGTATACTTACAGACGCTTCTTTGCTCGCATTTCCTGCAACATTCTATTAGAACTTTCGGAGACCCCGCAGATAGAGAAAGAACTGAAGTGTGTACCATCATGGCCGCCACATCGGAAGCCTTCACAGAGGTAAAAGCATCAGCGAAGCCAAGCGTATGTTCTATTCCTCCCTTCGAGCCATTCGGCTCTGTATGATGCTTTGAAGCTTATTGAGACATCTACATTCTCCAGATCTGGCGCCGCGCCACCTCGTTCGGCCGTCTGCTGTTCTACGCTGTTCCCTCGTCGACAGATTTAATTATTCTGCTCGTTGGTTTCCTTGCTGCTGTTGCATCTGGAGTCCCGTTCCCTATCATGTCAATTGTCTTTGGACAGCTAGTCAACGGATTGAACTCGGCTACCTGCGAGATCGACCCCTCCACTGCCGCAACCTACCAGGATGGGATCAACTCCAAGATACTGCTTATTGTTTATGTTGGAATCGCCTATTTTGCACTCATTTATATCCACACTATTTGCTGGAACGTTTTTAGTGAGAGATTGGCTCAGCGCATACGCGAGGCATATTTCAGCGCCATCTTACGACAGGATGCGGCGTTCTTTGACAACTTGCCCGCTGGTGAGGTGTCTGCACGCATCACAGACGAGATATCTGTCGTGCAGCAGGGCACGAACGAAAAGGTCGGCATTGTGATCAGCAGTGTGTCTTTCGTCATCACCGCGTACGTCGTAGCCTTTATTAAGAATCCAAAGCTAGCTGGCATGCTTGTATCTCTCACTCCCGCATACCTCATCATGGCGCTAGGTGGTGGATACTTCGTGCAAAAGTATGTTGGCCACTCAATGAGCACCATGGCCAAGGCATCATCAGTCGCTTTAGAGGCAATCTCAAATACAATGGTTGTGCACACCTTCTCCGCTAATGCACGCTTGGAGGAGAAGTTTGTTGAAGTCCTGACGCCGGCTCTGTGGGCCGGTGTACGGAAATCCGTGGCTGTGGCATTGCAGGCTGGTCTTTTGTACTTCATTGCTTTCTCAGCAAATGCACTTGCTTTCTGGCAAGGATCCCGGCAGATTGCCAGCGCTGTAGAGTTGAATACGTTGCAAACCGGTGGCATTACAGTTGGAGCCACATTCACTGTCATGCTGGTTCTCATAGACGGTACGTTGAACTCCCTTGGCTTATTCAAGTGATGGAAGCTGTACTAAAGCGGTTGCTCCAGTGTCCTTGGTTCTCAGCCAAGCTGCTCCATTCTTGAGAAGCTTTGATGCCGCATCCGTAGCCTTTGCTAAGTTGGAGGCTGATATAAACCGGCCTGCAAGTATTGAAGGCACTAGCAAAGATACAGGTCGTATACTTCCAGATGTTTCAGGAAAGGTAGAGCTGCGCAATGTTCATTTCACCTTCCCATGTCGTCCTGATAAGCCCGTGCTGCAGGATCTGTCTTTTTTGTGTCCAGCTGGTCAGCAGACTGCCATCGTTGGTCTCTCCGGCAGTGGTAAATCCACAGTCGCCGGACTGATCACCCGATTCTACAATGCAGACGAGGGAACTGTGCTTTTGGATGGTCACGACCTCAGAGAGCTGAACACCAGGTCAGTTCGAAGTCATATCAGTCTCGTACAGCAGGAGCCATGCCTTCTGAACGGATCAATACTGGAAAACATTGCCCTCGGTCTTATCAACTCACCCAAGCATGAGCACCTGCGGCCGGCACTAATGAGCGACGTCCTTGCCAAAGTTGCGGCTGCAGTCCGAGATGGCCAAGTCTTGGTGGTAGCCTCCCAAGAGCATGGTGACCACGTCCGGGAAATCGTTGAACTGACGATTAACGCTGCTGTATTGGCTGATGCGATCGGCTTCATTGGACGTTTACCGGAAGGGTTTGGGACCTCAGTCGGTGCCCAGGGTCATCTTATCAGTAGCGGGCAAAAGCAGCGTATCTCGCTGGCTCGTGCCTTGGTCAAGGATCCACGTATCCTCGTCCTTGATGAGGCTACTTCCTCCCTCGATTCGGCCTCAGAATTACGGATTCGGCAGGCTCTAGACAAAGTGGCAGCCGGACGGACCGTGATCACAATTGCTGACCGGCTGTCGGCTATCAAGAATGCGGACAGTATCATTGTTATGCGCCAGGGCAAGCTGCTAGAGCAAGGAACACACCAGGACCTTATCGACGCCAATGGCGCGTACGCCGAGCTCGTTCGTCTTCAGAACCTCAACGTCAACGGAGGCGATGAGAGTAACGATATAACCTCTGCGGTTTCGAAGAGTTCCACAGAAGAGATCTACGATATTCCGTGACCATTGAGGCATCGACCTTCGCTGGTGTCCCTCATGCCAGCAACGGAAGCCCAGCAGACCAAGGAGTCGGGGGCGAACGCACGTTCTCGTCAGTTGCTCAGTCGGTGGGTGCCCTGTTCCGGCCGTACTCGTTCGTGCTGGTCATCGCAACTGTTGGAGCGGCCGTTATTGGCGGCACATATTGTGGATCTGCCGTGATCTTCGGTAACGTTGTCAGCAAGCTCAGTTACTGTGAAGAACATAGCTCCATCCGTCATGCAGGTCATGTATTTGGGCTCCTATTTTTCCTTCTCACCACCATTGAATTCACAGCCAATTTTCTCAGCTGGTCTCTCTTTGGCTGGGTCGCTGAGCAGGTTGTATATAAGGTGCGCGTGCTCACTCTGCGGTCCATTCTCGAACAGGATCTGGTATGGCACGAAACAAAATACCAGAACCAATCTTTTCTGCTTGGACTTATTACGAAGGACAGCGTTGCCCTCGGTGGCCTGACGGGGTCCGTGGTTTGCACGGTCCTGTCGATTTTTGTCAGTCTTATCGCTACTATCACCATGACACACATTATTGCCTGGAAGATTGCGATAGTATGTCTCTCAGTTGTACCGCTCCTCCTGGGTGCTGGATACATGCGTGTCACCACGTTAGCCAGCTTTGAAGAGGAACATCTAGAAGCTTTCGCAAACTCCAACACCATCACCGTCGAGGCCGTCAACTCCATCAAGACGGTCATGTCGCTTTCACTAGAGCACGAGATTCTCGGCACATATAGGCGCTCACTTAAGGGTCCCATGCGCCAAATCATGAAGCACAGTGCCTGGGCCAATCTGTGGTTGGCTTTCGGTTATGGTCTCAGTAACTTCCTCTATGTGCTGGCCTACTGGTGGGGATCAACGCGCATTATCGCAGGCGAGTACACTCAAACCCAGTTCTTCATCGTGCAACTCGCCCTCCTCGTCAGTTCCCAGCTATGGGGGCAGGCGTTCGCCCTCGCGCCAGACGTCTCGCGCGCATTCCAGGCTACACGACGCCTTCTGAACCTGGTGGACATGGGATCAACCAAGAAGCTTTCCGCGCCTCTCGCTCGGGTGTGGGACGTCGAAGCCACGATAGCTAGTGAGAAGCCACGGTCATCGGCCGGGGGCGTTAGCGTGGTCTTCAAACAAGTCTTCTTCTCATATCCGGCACGGCCAGATACCCGGATTTTGCATGGACTGGATCTAAGCATTCAGCCCGGGCAATTTGCAGCCCTTGTCGGGCCAAGTGGTGCTGGCAAGTCAACGATCATCTCGCTCATTGAGCGCCTGTACACCCCCGAGTTGGGAACAGTTGAGGTAGACGGGCATAACATCGCGTACGGAGATACCTCTTTCCGTCATGCTATTGCCTACGTCCCGCAGCAGAGTGTCATGTTCGACGGAACCATCCGATTCAACCTGACCCTCGGTGCGAGACCCGGCCAAACGGTCTCCCAGATGGAACTCGAGGAAGCGTGCAAATCGGCCAACATCCACGACACGATCATGCAGTTACCTGATAAATATGACACAGTCTGTGGGCCAAATGGCGGCCGGCTTTCGGGAGGACAGAAGCAGCGGTTAGCCATTGCGCGGGCGCTTGTTCGTAAGCCTCAGCTCCTAATTCTGGATGAGTCGACAAGTGCTCTGGATGCGGAATCCGAGCGCTTGCTTCAGGATGGAATTGAGAAGGCTGCGAAACATATGACTATCATTGCCATTGCGCATCGGTTATACACTATCCGCAAGGCGGATGTGATCTTCCTAATTGAGAATGGGCGGTGCCTTGATCAAGGCACGCACGCGCAGCTGATGGAGCGTAGTGAGAGTTGCCGTATCAACGCCCTGAACCAAACAGTTGGCTCGTGATGTCCTCAGCCCAAAAGAAGCTTTCAGACGGACTCGTGGCACAGTCTTAGCATCTGTGCTATTGGTATTGGTTGTGGCATAAGCCAGAGGCCCTTTTACGGTATCGGCAGTTTCGGGTCAGGGTGTATGTACCAACTGGGTCAGTTGGGCGGGTGGATACTTATTACTTTGTATTTATCAATATTCGAAGCTATTCATTATGAAACTTGCTCGCGAAGACATCGACCAGCTGGCTCAGAGATCGAAAAATTCTCGCCTAAGAATGGGTCAGTCAGTTCGAATTCATGCCGAGCAGTTTATGCCTGAAGAGTATTGACTGAGTTTAGTAAAGCGAGAGCGTTGTGGCTATATCATCGAGGACGTCCTTTTTTGGCGAATTGGAAGAGAGGAACTGAAGATCCTCTCTGATATCTATTGATCTACCGCGTATCTGCAGAATTTATCCCCTCTGGCATCTGAGCCCCGCGCTGCTGATTGTGAAGTCATACAGGTCTGTCTCCAATCCCGACCGCCCAACACGGCGGCTACTGGGGTGATCTAGGTTTAGGGCGAAGGATAGTGATTGTAAATTGGATTATCATTCTACATATCTCGGAGGGCAAGTCGAGGAAACGGAAAGTAGTGTTCTTGACAGTGGAGCGCTCGCCAAGGGCCTGGAGATGATCAACCTGATAGAAGGGCCATGGTGCTTCATAATGGTTTCCTTGGCCAGTTGCTTGGAATTGCCTGTATCGCTATTAAAAGATACGGATCCCATTCTATCAAGAGATGGATTCGTCAAGAAGACTTGATACTGGCAAACATGAATATAAAGACGCAAAGTCTTGTATGGTAAAAGCCTATTGGTACGGCCATACTTTCACATATTCCTCTCTTTGCTTCTCATATTCAGCCAGATTGATGAACTCTGGCTGGAAATAATCATTCCACCTCCTGGCATCTTCATATCAATCTAGTGAAACCATTCCACCTAGACCAGCACCGCACTGCCTACGTCTTACTGCTGCTATCACGACGAACCATGCTGGCCATCGGCTAAGGACTGGGACCAGCTGAATCAAACCGTATCAAACTGTATCAAACTGTATCAAACTGTATCAAACTGTATCAAACTGTATCAAACTGTATCAGGTCGGCTCATCCAGATTGTCCCGCTTGGTCAATCATGTCACGATTCCGATTTCAACAATAGCACATGTGCAGCCCTGCGACCTGAAATAAACCTTTCTAATATCTAGTGAAAATGCCCTCCCGTTTGTCCTGCCCTTCCTTTCGGTATTTTCACTAAATACGTGTCAAGTGATGGCACCCCTGCCGGCATTATAGCCCCTCTTTTCCCCAATAACAGTTGCAACCTTTATACTCCAAAAACCGATCACTGCCAACCGGGAACTTCCGCTACGCTATAGCTCCTGAAGAAGTGGCAGATATCGCCGGCGGCATCAAGAGGCTGGGCTTATCTCAGCGACTAGAACGCTTATTAGAACTCTTTTCCCGTGCGCTGATCCCTTGCTTACGTTTTCGACAATGGATTCTAACGGCGGTCATGTTGGCTGGAGCTGTGCCTCTTCAAAATCAACGATATCACATGACCACATTCCTCGATACTGATTCCTGTCGTAAAAACACACCTGATCCGTGAATAGCATGCAGTGAATCCTCCGATCACCGAATTAACCGATTTCAATCGATTTTGTGTTGCTTAGCTAGCCAGCATCCTCCCCGCATAGCACCTGAGCTATATATCTATGCCACAGATCGATTGTTACTGACAAGAAATACACTTATTATTCAAGCATCAGAAAGTGAATTAGATCGAAGGGAACTAGATCAATCTGGTACCTGCAGACGAGAGTAAAGAGAAAGAAGAGAAAGAATGCCAGCCAGGAAGAGCAAGCTTAAGTACACGGCAAACAGGCAAACATCCCAAAATACTAAGCAGTTACTAGGTACCGACCCCACAGAATGAAGTTATTCCCAGCCTCCCAGGCTTAAGAGTCATAACCATTACAGAAGGTATCGGCCGCTAATGTTCGCATTTATCTTCGTGCAATTAAGCCCGCACATAAAAACTCCGCTATGAGTCAAAGTCAATACCCGCGGATACTAGCTTGACAAAATCACTTTCCCCAGTTCCACCAAATTCCAGTCTTAGAGAGATGCCTACTGTATACTTCACGATACCTGCGTTTAGCACTTCCATAGTTTTATTGTGAAGATCCTCACGTAGATCCACCTTGTTGAAACTGGCAATCTTCGCTTCGCCATCAAAGACGTGGAAGTAGGTGATTGCAGCAGTGCTGCCTGTGGTGAATTAGACATAAGCAGTTTTTGCTTTAATTCACCTTCCATCAAACACAGCAGGTGTTGGAATAGCGAAGTGTACCCTACCCGCATAGTCACCACATGACGGACGAATTATCGTAAAGAATGCTTGCCTCAGGATGTTCCACAACGGTTTTGATTCAACCTCAACTCCTGAACCATGTGTCCAGGTTGACTGCATGGGAGGCATATCTGTATTATATAAGATCTTGTCCGGATGTAACCTATTTGAATCATTGCAAACGGATCTTATTGGAATAAGGATATGCAATAGTTTATAGAGCTTTAAGGACAGAGGTGGGCCACTGTTAGTTCTAGATTGCTCCAGTCGAGGCTAGACCTTGAGACTTCCCATAAGGGATCTAGAACGTCACTCCTAAGTCCCATTCTTATACTCTAATGGGCCTCTTAGTAAGTTCTAATTTCTGCATAACCAAAATTGGATGAACAGATGTTGAGTTTGTCACGAACAGATATAAGAATGTGAGAAATAACAGAAAGAAGTATAAGCATTATGAAGGCTCACTCCCTTCGAGCTGTGCAAAAGTCTTTAGAGTATTTAAGTACTCAGGGTTGCTTCTCATGAATTCCTTAAACGTAAGTCCTGCATCATTGCGATGCTCTCAGCATATTAAATATCTATATTCAAATCCCTGGGCGGGAGTTTACTCCAATAGTTATTTTGACCATCGACGGAACGTTAATGGAGTAAGTGTTCGGCTAAGGTCCAACGTCCACCTGTTTCGCAATTAGGACGAACCTGTCCCTAAATTCAGCTTGATGAAATCAATGTCATATGTCATCAATAATGCATCGTACTGTCGATGAGGTCATAACTGGCTCTCTTGCCATTTGTTCTGAGATATAATAGAGTCTGTGCCGCCTCACATAGACATTTCATGCGATGTAAATGGAAGCTTGAGAAGCAGATCACAGAGCTCGAAGGTATTAACCAAAAGCTTTACACCATTCTCAAGCACCAAAATCACGAGAGCATTCATTCAGCCCATTATACCGTCCAACTCGAGATGACGTTTAACCGGCTTCTTGTCATAAAATAACTCCGTAAGAACCCTCCAACGACTGGCAAACACCTCCTTCGACATGTAGTTGCAACTGAGGATCAGTTCCCGGAAAGAGGCCTCCATTTGTAATTCGACCAAGCGGTGCTCACTTCAGCATTCTTGATGGACGTCCATCTTTGAACTATCTTGCTGGGCTCGACTATAGGAGTCTTTATCTCGAATGGTGGATGTCCGTTTTCTTCCTCTGTGTAGCTTAATATATTGCTTTAGATAGTCATCTACAACTTGCTCGAGCTTACCCGAAACTGAGCAAGCTGCATCTCAGGTTTCCAACGAGATGCCATTGATCTCGAAGACTGCGAGTCGGGTTTTACTTTGGTATCCAGTACGGCTCGAGATTCGATATTTGTAGATATTTTCGTACATGTCAAAGTCGGCTTGGACATTCAGGCCTTCAACATCATTAAGAGAACCATGGGAGTCGGTTTCCGATTCGGACTTCAGAGTATTATCCGCAAACGGCCGCTATGTGGGTATATTTCGCAGCAACTGCTAAAAATCCACATCCACTGCAGCAGCTAAACTTAAGACGAGAGAAGGCGTCATTATGCACTCACACTACTTGATCAGGGACTTTTCTACCATTGATATGTAGATGTGAAAAGGCTATCGAGATTTCGATGATTCGGACATCATTGTGATAATCTGGAGCTATCTAAAGTGGGATCACCCACCAATTGATCACACTATCTAATAGCTAATGGAAAGTTAATTAAGAGTATACAGAGTATACTGCTGGGCGAAAATCCTCCATTGCCACTAAAGTTTTGAAGGCGGAGCTTGGCATCTACCACCAGTCTATTAGGATTTCACCGAACTCTATTCGCCGATGTTTCTTGTGGTTCCAATCACTAAAATTGTCAGGCTCAGCTCTTTGTCTGGCCACGGGAGGTTAGGTTTCGTCTAGCTACAGTAGTTGTTAAGTCATTTAAAAGTAAACCTACTGACCTTCTTTGCCTTTTCCAAATTGCCGGATGTTATTTAATGAGCAACTTTGAGGCGTAACCGTTAGAACAATGCAACACGCCAAAAGTTAATCGCTCTTAATGGATGATAATGCCGCTAGGCCTGCGGTGCTGCTAGACGCATTGAGACTCTCCTGCGGAGCCCTGTTGTTGCTCCAGTTCGTGCGCCAAACACGCTCGAGGTCATATTCTACAGCGCCCGAAGAGGAAGGGTTGGGGGGAAGAAAGGGAAGGGAAGCCAAATCTATGTTAAACCAGGACGTAACTGGATGTAATAGGCCAAAGTGCATAGATAAACTTCTGGATAATGTTGATCCGGACCAGAGTGAGTTTATTATAATGATGAGAACAACAGTAAGTGACGCTGTCCTCAATAATCATTGTAATTGGCTCTCGTGAGCAATAACAGCACAGTCGACAAACTACGTCAGACTAGGTGGCGTAAGTATGACTTTGCAGATCACTTAACCTGCAGGTGGTGAGACATTAAACAGAAGATAATTCAATATAGTGCTGCCAATAAATCCTTCCTTAGGTTAAAAGGATCCCATTCTTTTCTTCAGGCCTAATGGGCCGGGCTCTTACCTCCACCTTGCGATTTAACTCCAACTTAGTTTCACAGGGTCCGTAGATATGTATAGTGGCGACCACTATCTTCTTCCATGTCAGACAACATAATGGTGTTCTAAATTACAAGATATCATAATTCCGAGATGGGTTCTGCGGTCATTGAAGCTCTCTTCCGCGATTGAATGGTATAATGCTGAATGAGGTGACCCCAATGAGACGAATAGCATGGAAGCCTGCCGTAGTCTTGCTGCGACACCAGATTGCAAGGTTGCTTATGTGCACAGTCTTCAACTTTTCTGAAACCCAACTGAATTCAAATGTCTCCATAACCTCATGATTGTGATTAGGACCCACCATAACCACAACTTAAAATTCACGTGGGGAACTGAACACCCTCTCTGTGGGGTCCCTATTCCGTGAATATCTTATCAAAGTTCTGAATAAAGATCACCTTATTGGACTGCCCGGCGGTCCAGGCCTTAGTCTTATGGAACCGAGGTCTCTACTAAGAGAAGCTTGACCAATATTAGAAATGAGAAATGAATCATGATTAAGTGACCAATAGAAATTAATAGGTCGGTCAACTATACATTTATGGGTAGTGTAACAGTGGGTTTATAAATATCTTAATACTATTCTCGTCATAATAAAGTAGGACACACCTCCCATCTATAGAAACCACAGCAGCAGCTAATCATAACAGTATTTGGAAATCTATACCAATGGGTGAAATATTCACCAGATGTGGTTCTCATCGCGTCTAATACCCCATTAAAGATAGACAACTGAATGCTCAACTTGGCTGCACATAACCTAATCTGGTCACAAGACCATATTAACTTAACTAAGTTTCTATTGGTCGTCTATACCTGAATCCAATCAGACACCTTAATTTGAGAAAAGCTTAACCCTAATTTAGTTAAAGAAGGCCATCTTGCATATGGCGGCATGAGTCAAGACAACTATGCAACCATTTCGTAGGCATGCTGTACTGATTCACATTTGTGAACCTGATGACGACCTGAGGGTGTGAAGAGGTGGGGTTTTACATTTCTACTAATACATACCTATTAATAAATACTATTTCTTCCACCTCCCTGGTGGTCTAGCCTGCTTAGAAAGATTGGTAGACCATGGGCGATGTATTAAAGCTACCACGACTCCCTCTGCCTAGATACCACTAGATCAACTGCCAGCAACAGCCATGACGGAAGACACTAATTTTAAGTTCATATGCAGAGAGTGTTTCAAAAGCCTGGCCTCTGCAACTTAATCCAGGTTTAGTATAATTAGACTTATTTAAAGCCTCGCAGTGCTCTGTACATTTTAGTTTAAATCTTGTATGTTAAATTCTGGTGAACTGACAGACCGAATCGAAACATAGAAGCTCTTCATATCAATTATAATAGTCAATCCTCAGCTATCTCCAATGCAGGATATCAAACATGAAATTGAAATTCACGGCCTCGCAGTACACGCGGGGAAAAATTTGGATGTCACGCCTAAAGATGAGTGCGCATCTATTACTCTGAACCGCGGAGAGCGAGAGCTTCGCTTTCCATTTTCAACACCCACTATTGTCAACGGCCAGCGCCTCAAGGCTGGCAAACTTTTCGTTCGTTTCACAACTTATGACTCCTCGAGGATTTCTTTTATCAAGATCATGGATGGTGACAAGATGATCGTGCTTCAGGATGATCTTAATTGGCAAGGTGTCTCAACCACTAAAAACTATGTGTTTCAGGGAGCACCTATTGGCGTTGAATGGGGCCTGAATGTTATTATTGGGGTTGACTCTAACAGGGCTCCTGCTCAGATTGATATTATTGGCCTGGGTGTTGTTTTTTACTGATGAGCAGCTCATTTTCGCTGTAAAAGTTTCATAACGCTACTTGTTATTCATTGAGATTGCTTTATAGTCCACCATGTTAATACGGCACCGATAACTGAAAGTAAAATTGACTTGAATATAAAGCCAACCTTCCATTGGCATAGGGACGGAAGTAAGAGAATAATAGCCAGAATGGGCACTCCAACCTTGGAAATTGCCAGCTCTTTTCCAGGTCAACAAGTGTTTACGACTTACGAAGGTACCAAGATACAAAGCATTTGTATCCGGCTACAGTGGTGTTCCTCCACTGTAGAGGCAACAGGTTCCTGGTTGATTAAGGCTGTTGCTGCTGGTGAACTAACTGTTAAATGAACCTGTTTGTGATAATCCGCTTAGCCCACTATTCAAAACTATGCTGGTATGGACTTACGGAAGTTAATGGCCCTGAGAAAGTGAACATGTCACTGTTGTCGTTTCTGTTGTTGTCTCTGTTCTTGTTTCCGTTTGCAGCTGAGCGGAGCAAGCCAAGATTTGAGCCCAGAAGGGCTGATCAGATGATATTCTAAGAACCATATCGATTACAAAATATCATAAGTATGTGCAATGTTTAATTCGCGGCAGTGACACCCAGCAAAGAAAATCGTAATAGACCAGGCAAGACCCACTATAACACCATAATTCCAGGCTACCATGTTTAGACCACCAGATAAGGACGAAAGCGGATCTTTTCGTTCTTCTAGTCTCCAGCCCCGCGCCCCGCTCTTTCTTGGCTAGACCTTGGCAATGATAGCATGACTCGAGATTGTTCCCGACTGCCGTACCCAGAGGACTCCTCATGCTAAAATTCCATAATGGTGCCTGAATACTAACTCCATACTTTAGGCGAGGAAGGACTTTTTGGGTAGGAATTGTTTAGAAACTCAGGATCTAACTGAGCCACTCCACGCGCTATAGATCACCAGCTTGCGACAACCCTGTCTGGGACGACTAGCGTCAATTAACCAAGGCGAATTTGGTTTGAAAGATCTAAAAAGTTTAGATGTGAACGCAGGCTGGTTGAACCATATTGAAAGGATAACTTTATGATATTTAATCACGCCACAATAGATGTTCAGCTATGTTTTGGTACATTGTTGGCGTGTCAGCAGAATTGCCTGCATGTGAACGGACATCATGATACTTCATCCGGGAGCATAGTGTTCTCGCCACGGGGAATTTCGAATTGTCCTCAATCATAATATAATGAAGTCATAATGTCAAATTATTCGGCAGTGCAATATAGCATTACAAGGAAAAGAACAATGGTTTTCAGAAGCGGTGGCTCAATAGTCTTCTAAGACTCAATCCGTACGTTTGCAGTTCTGGGGTCTTTTGAAGCCCTGTATCACGCCACTGTAACGCCACTAAATGGTAAGCTTAAGATTTCTCGCAAATTCTTCCCGCCCATGCGAGATACCAGCTGTGAGATTATAATGTAATATCGTTTGTCAATTCTTATATCTATAGGTTGATTGGATTATGATCCAGCGACGTGGTTGCCGTCATGTGATTCAGCAACGATGTTAGAATTGAAGAAAGTATACCTAAGACTAAGTACGTGCTCATCTAGGGAGGTTTACGTTGTTACTAGAGTTGCATTCGGTCCGAGTTCGGGCGAGTTCAATGACAGTTGGAACCGAACCGCTGCGGTTTCGAGTCCAAATTTTGAAAATCGGAACCAAACCTGATCCGTTCTGATTTGGTTTGAGTTTAACCGTAAAAACTTGAAACTTGGCGCAGCTAAACTATTTCTAGCTAAGTCATGTTACTTACTAACTAACCATGGTTAGATTTGGTTAGGTTTTGGGTTGGATAAACTGCTATTTAAAACTAACATTTTGCGACTATAAGATATTACAATATCTCCTTATATACTGATTAATTTAATTCAAAATGCCATTTATATAAGACTCTATATACAGAGGTTTTATCCTGACTTAATAAGTAATAGATTTAAGCTATGTTAGGTGAGTTCATGGTTTATAGCTTAAAACATGATAAAATACATGAATATATATATAAATATTATGATTATTTATAAGTAATAGTGACCCTTAAACATTATATCAGCTCTCTCATATCTAAGAAGATGATCTAAATACACTAAATCTAACCATAGTTAGATTAAGAAAAGACTACATATCTATACACCTCCAATAGTATTAATGTAACTGAGAATAATGCGACTGAGTAGTATGCGACTAAGAAGAAGTATATAACTAAGAAGTATATGACTAAGAAGTATATGACTAAAAAGGATGCAACTAAGAAGTATACAACTAAGAAGTATGTAACTAAGTAATAAAATACTAAATCTAACTATAGTTAGATTAAGAAAGGAATAGACAGAATAGAAATATATTTAAAAATATAGGATAATGCAACTGAGTAGTGTTATAAGATTAATTATTTATGCAGCTAGTGCACTTAAAATACTAGATAATCTTCTTAGTGGTCTTCACCTTCTTACAGAAGATAGGCTTAGTCTAATCACTATAACTGCCCTGCTTGCAGTTATAATGATACTTACCCTAGGTGAACAGGGAGGCCTTACCAGCCTTATACTAGGTAACCTTATACTAGATATGCTTATAGCACTCCTTAGACTTGCAGTATGTCTAGTAGGTTTTAGGAATATTAACTATTTTAACTAAGTTAGTTAGATTGTGAGATTATTAGTTATTAGATCTATAGTATAATACTTAATCTAATTATAGTTAGATTAAAAAAGGAAAAGGCATTATATAAATATCTTTAATACTTTTTAACTAGGTAATATAACAGAGTATATAATAATGCAACTAAGTAGTAATGTAACTAGGTAGTATGCAGCTAAGTATAAGGTAACTAAGTACTTTTTAATATAGTACTAAGCTACTGAGTAGGATTATATAATAGGAATTAACTAATCATATAAAGTGAACCTAAACATCAAAGAAATCTATATTATAAATAGAGTTCTTTAATATTCACCACCTCTTGAGTCACAAATAGTAGATATAAATAAAGAATAGTAACTTAATAGTAAATATAAATAAATATAAGGGATAGCACTATACTATAAATACTTATCTACTAATAATTATATAGGCATTTAAATAATCTCCTCTATTTATTCTAGAATTTTATAAAATAATAGTTTTTCTGAAATTTATTAAGCTTCCTTGCTCTAAACCCTATACTAACTCCTAAATCTAACTATAGTGTTATTTAACTCTACTAAGGTAATAGCCTTATACTTTATTTTTATACTAAAATTCTCTTAGTCCTATCTACTAAGGGTAAATCTAACTATAGTTAGATTTACCCAGAGGCATTCCCCTATATTATTTATTATTCTAAAGTAAAATTCTAACCATGGTTAGATTAATAGCTAGCTAATCTAGGGGGGGGCCTGGGCCTACCACTACTAAGAAAAGGTCTAAATTAACTAAAGCTACAGCAGAAGAACCTATTATTACTAAGATAATAATAGATAACCTTATAAACTAATCCCTAGAGGGAGCATACCTTAGCTCCTTTATAATTAATATTTATAACCTAACTTTAGAATAAAAAAACTTATAAAATAGAGCTATTAATCCCTCTCTAATTAAAAAATTAAAAATATTATTTAAACTAGGCATTCACAGATTCACTATTAAAGATAGACTCTATGTAATGATGCACTCTACTAAATTTAAGGTGATTATTAAGTATATAGCTAAAATTTCTATAAAGGATCCTAAAGACCTTCATACTAAGGTCCTTAAGCAGACTACTTTATAGATATAGATAAATTTAACTATGATTAGATTTAGTTACTAATACTCCTTAGAATTAGTTAGTATTTATTCCCTTACTACCTAATTCTATAGCCCCACTAGTGGTGTGTAATAGGTAGCACTAGATTATTATACTCTATAGTCTACTCAAGGAATAACATAATCTAGCTATAAAGACTGCTATTAATACTAATAGGAATCTAATTATAGCTCTAATAAAGGAGGTAAATTCTCCCCATAGTTAGATTATAGGTATATTTACTAATAAGAATAGTAATATTATTAGTTAGTAGATATCTATGCAGAGGATTTAATCCTAAATAATATAATAGCTGCATTAATAGCTAACTATCAGGCTGTCTAAAAAGCAAATAGTGAAGGATTTAATGCTATCTAATTTATTAGTAGGTTAGAGGCCCTCTTAGTAATAGAGAGGGAGTAAACCCTAATTTTATTAATAGTAATAAAGTATTAGATTAATAATATCTTTAGAATTAACCTTTAGTACACATTAAGGATCCTAATAATCTTAAGATATAAGGAGTTCTAGAGAGTTATAAAGAAATATTACCTTATAAGGTATAGTAAGTAAAACTACTCTTAGAACCTTATAGAATTAATTATTTAGTTAAAACTAGACTTTATAAGTATGTGTCTATCATTGGTGTTTATAGGGCACAGTTACTAATATAACTATAGTTAGATCTAGTTTAAGGAAATTTCTAAGTTTTTTACCTTTAGAGATACTATCTTTAGAGACTATATATACTCTATTTCCCTGGCTAATTAGAGATATATTTTAGAACTAGATAATAACTAACCTAATATCTAATTACACTTACTATTCTTCCCAAAGTAGGAAGATTATTAGGATAATAAATAGAAGAAGAAGACACCATAGGGCCTCCTATTAAAATACTATAGTTCTAAGGAGCTACCCAGGCTGGGCACCTTATACCTTATTAATTAGTATACCTTTACTAACTAGCAGCCTGGATTTATGCTAGTACTAAATAATCAGTAATATATTAGTATCTTTAAAAGCCTGTAATAACATCATAACCTTACCTGCCCTACATGGTATATAGATTAAATCTAACCATGGTTAGATCTATGCTAATATACATCTAGGATAGATTAGAAAAAAATAAATAATAATATTTTAAACACTATTAAATTCCTTCTTTAGTATATAATGGTCTAGGTAGATCCTAAATA